CTTGTTCCAAGTGTGAATTCAGCACAAAAATGTTATCAAGATTATTGAACCATATTTGCTTCAGAGGGGGTAATAACAGTGAAAGCAATTTCCGTTGCTCAATGGCCAAATGATTTTATCAGAATTGCAGGTCATTTGTTGTGTGATCGATGTGAAACCTGAGATTGATCGATGTTCGACTGGAAAGATTTTAAGAAGAACTCTACTAGGACACAGCGAGATTTATAAAACATGTCATAACTCACTTCAGTGATTGCAAACATGGCATGTCACTTCCTATGAATTATGTGTTAATGTCCCCCAAGTACAATCCCAGAAGTAAATTGTTTGTTTATTGTATTCAGATATTTGATGTGTATACGTATGATATGCTTGTCTAAGCAGCTTCTGTTAATTTAGCAGCTGTCTTCAGGATGCAATTTGTTCTCTGGAAATAGTATATTGGAACAATTTACAGTGAAACCTCATTCATCCAGACATTGCTGTTCCGGGTGATATCATCCAGAAAGATACATTTCCAGATTAAAGATCACAGGTACATCGTTACATCCGTTTGATGTAATTCCCCACAATAGTAATTTGGAAGGCATGGTCTCGAGATTAACAGGTTTGAGTGTAACATGATATAGTTATAAAATTTTGTTTGCTGTTATGACCAATATAAAAGAACTGATGCTTTGGGGAAATTTGAAGATGAATTATTCATAGTTTTTATGAGGTGGAGTTTGTGTTGGCGTGTTTGTGTTTTCATGTCAATAGACAGGTTCATTAGTAAAACATAATATCCCACAGTGGTGCTTACCGGGTTATTGTGTGTGGTGCTGCTGTGCTGAGCAGTAGAAGGATCAGTGGCAGATTGACTGACTCGGGGGTGGGTGGCTGAAGTGCTAGGGACATGTCTCGGGGTGGGTGGCTGAAGTGCTGGGGACATTGACTGTCTCAGGGGTGGGTAATCAGGGTGCTCGGGACTCTAACTGTCTCAGAGTGGGCGGGGTGTCGGGACATTGACTGTATTAGTGATGGGTAATCTGGGTGCTGGGGACATGTCTCGGGGTGGGTGGCTGAAGTGCTGGGGACGTTGACTGTCTCAGGGGTGGGTAATCAGGGTGCTCAGGACATTGACTGTCTTAGGGGTGCGTGGCCAGGGTGCTTGGGACATTAACTGTCTCAGGGCTCGCCGGTGTGTGGGGACATTGACTGTGTCAGGAATTGGTGGCCAGGATGTGGGAACATTGACTGTCTCAGGGGTGGCCAGGGTATGGGGACATTGACTGTCTAAAGGGTGGGTGGCCAGGGTGTGGGGACATTGACTGTCTCATGGGTGGCCGGGGTGTGGGAACATTGACTGTCTAAAGGGTGGGTGGCCAGGGTGTGGGGACATTTACTGTCTCATGGGTGGCCGGGATGTGGGGACATTGACTGTCTCATGGGTGGCCGGGGTGTGGGGACATTGACTGTCTAAAGGGTGGGTGGCCAGGGTGTGGGGACATTGACTGTCTCATGGGTGGCCGGGGTGTGGGGACATTGACTGTCTCATGGGTGGCCGGGGTGTGGGGACATTGACTGTCTCATGGGTGGCCGGGGTGTGGGGACATTGACTGTCTCATGGGTGGCCGGGGTGTGGGGACATTGACTGTCTAAAGGGTGGGTGGCCAGGGTGTGGGGACATTGACTGTCTAAAGGGTGGGTGGCCAGGGTGTGGGGACATTGACTGTCTAAAGGGTGGGTGATCAGGGTGTGGGGGACATTGACTATCTCAGGGGTGGGTGATCAGGGTGCTTGGGACATTAACTGTCTCAGGGCTGGCCGGTGTGTGGGGACATTGACTGTGTCAGGAATTGGTGGCCAGGGTGTGGGGACATTGACTGTCTCATGGGTGGCCGGGGTGTGGGGACATTGACTGTCTAAAGGGTGGGTGGCCAGGGTGTGGGGACATTGACTGTCTAAAGGGTGGGTGATCAGGGTGTGGGGGACATTGACTATCTCAGGGGTGGGTGATCAGGGTGCTTGGGACATTAACTGTCTCAGGGCTGGCCGGTGTGTGGGGACATTGACTGTGTCAGGAATTGGTGGCCAGGGTGTGGGGACATTGACTGTCTCATGGGTGGCCGGGGTGTGGGGACATTGACTGTCTAAAGGGTGGGTGGCCAGGGTGTGGGGACATTGACTGTCTAAAGGGTGGGTGGCCAGGGTGTGGGGACATTGACTGTCTAAAGGGTGGGTGGCCAGGGTGTGGGGACATTGACTGTCTAAAGGGTGGGTGGCCAGGGTGTGGGGACATTGAGTGTCTAAAGGGTGGGTGATCAGGGTGTGGGGGACATTGACTATCTCAGGGGTGGGTGATCAGGGTGCTTGGGACATTAACTGTCTCAGGGCTGGCCGGTGTGTGGGGACATTGACTGTGTCAGGAATTGGTGGCCAGGGTGTGGGGACATTGACTGTCTCATGGGTGGCCGGGGTGTGGGGACATTGACTGTCTAAAGGGTGGGTGGCCAGGGTGTGGGGACATTGAGTGTCTAAAGGGTGGGTGATCAGGGTGTGGGGGACATTGACTATCTCAGGGGTGGGTGATCAGGGTGCTTGGGACATTAACTGTCTCAGGGCTGGCCGGTGTGTGGGGACATTGACTGTGTCAGGAATTGGTGGCCAGGGTGTGGGGACATTGACTGTCTCATGGGTGGCCGGGGTGTGGGGACATTGACTGTCTAAAGGGTGGGTGGCCAGGGTGTGGGGACATTGACTGTCTAAAGGGTGGGTGGCCAGGGTGTGGGGACATTGACTGTCTAAAGGGTGGGTGGCCAGGGTGTGGGGACATTGACTGTCTAAAGGGTGGGTGGCCAGGGTGTGGGGACATTGACTGTCTAAAGGGTGGGTGGCCAGGGTGTGGGGACATTGACTGTCTAAAGGGTGGGTGGCCAGGGTGTGGGGACATTGACTGTCTAAAGGGTGGGTGGCCAGGGTGTGGGGACATTGACTGTCTAAAGGGTGGGTGGCCAGGGTGTGGGGACATTGAGTGTCTAAAGGGTGGGTGATCAGGGTGTGGGGGACATTGACTATCTCAGGGGTGGGTGATCAGGGTGCTTGGGACATTAACTGTCTCAGGGCTGGCCGGTGTGTGGGGACATTGACTGTGTCAGGAATTGGTGGCCAGGATGTGGGGACATTGACTGTCACAGGGTGGGTGGCTAGGGTAATGGGACATTGACTGTCTCAGGGCTGGGTGATCAGGGTGTGGGGGACCTTGACTGTCACAGGGTGGGTGGCCGGGGTGTCGGAGACATTGACTGTTAGGAGTGAGTGACCAGGGTGCTGGAGACATTGACTCTCTCAGGGGTGGGTGATCAGGGTGTGGGGGACATTGACTATCTCAGGGGTGGGTGATCAGGGTGCTTGGGACATTAACTGTCTCAGGGCTGGCCGGTGTGTGGGGACATTGACTGTGTCAGGAATTGGTGGCCAGGATGTGGGGACATTAACTGTCTCAGGGCTGGCTGGTGTGTGGGGACATTGACTGTGTCAGGAATTGGTGGCCAGGATGTGGGAACATTGACTGTCTCATGGGTGGCCGGGGTGTGGGGGACATTGACTATCTCAGGGGTGGGTGATCAGGGTGTTGGGGACATTGACTGTCTCAGGGTGGGTGGCCGGGGTGTCGGAGACATTGACTGTTAGGAGTGAGTGACCAGGGTGCTGGAGACATTGACTCTCTCAGGGGTGGGTGGCCAGGGTGTGGGGACATTGACTGTCTCAGGGGTGGTCAGGGTGCTGGGAACATCTAGTAACATAATGTCACACTTCTCTGTTACTCTCTTCAGTTAAATGCTCATACATACCTATGGCTTTATATATGCGAACTGATAGGCAAAAGATTCTTAGAATTTTGAAATACATGTTATATTAGAATTGTTAATGACAAATATGATAACAGGATGTGAACATCAAACATAATTTGATTTTCTGTGTCAAAATGACATTTGATGGGTGTAAGTCAAGGATGGACATTATAAAAGCCAATTTTTCCTCTGCAACTTAGTGTATTATCCTGTTATGTCAACTGTCATCTGGGTTAGAGCAGATTTGCCAAACTGGTTTCATCAGGAGTTATTGAGTATACATTATTGATTTCCTAATTGTCTGTTTATTGATCATGGAACATGACAAGCCGGTTGGTTGATGGCAGCAATGATAGCGTGACCGGCCAAGCATGACATCCAGCCCAGCCAACTGGCTGCAGGTAGCGTCTCCATCAGAGCAGGTAGGTTGGTTGGTCAGCGGGGATCGGTCAGCTCCACTGTCTGGACCCACACTTCGTTGGTGCTTGTTGCCACAGAACACTATTGATTGTCTACACAGCACTCACTTTCAGTAGAGAATAGATGTTTCTTCTCATCCTGCTAGGCCTTAAGAGATGCGACTCCTTGGATCAATTAGTGGGTGTCCTACTGAAGACTGCAGTGTTTGCATGGTTTGATGTGTTCGATGGTAAGGAGGCTGGGTGACAGTGCTGTAGCAGGTGCTTGTGTTTGGAGGATGCTGTTGTGTTAACCTCCCCCTGCTGCCTCACTTAATTGACTTGCACTTGACTTGCACTGTGTGGGTGTGTTTTCTTCTCTCACATTGTGAGAACCAGGCTGCACAGGATCGTCACAACCCAGGTTTGTTGCCTCACTTGACTTGCACTTGTTACACTGTGTGGGGGTGTTTACTTCTCTCATATTGTGAGAACCAGAGTGCACGGGATCGTCACAACCCAGGTTTGTTGCCTCACTTGACTTGCACTTGTCTCACTGTGTGGGTGTGTTTTCTTCTCTCACATTGTGAGAACCAGAGTGCACGGGATCGTCACAACCCAGGTTTGTTGCCTCACTTGACTTGCACTTGTCTCACTGTGTGGGAGTGTTTTCTTCTCTCACACTGTGAGAACCACACTGCACGGGATCGTCACAACCCAGGTTTGTTGCCTCACTTGACTTGCACTTGTTACACTGTGTGGGAGTGTTTTCTTCTCTCACATTGTGAGAACCAGAGTGCACGGGATCGTCACAACCCAGGTTTGTTGCCTCACTTGACTCGCACTTGTCTCACTGTGTGGGAGTGTTTTCTTCTCTCACATTGTGAGAACCAGAGTGCACGGGATCGTCACAACCCAGGTTTGTTGAGGGTATAATCATTCCGTAGTACTGTTTTGTCTATTTACATATAAGTCAACAGTTATGGGCCAAGAAAGCTAAATTCTGACAAATATAGGTATAATTAAGCGTAGCTTTCGTGGCCACAGTTCAGGTTCATGATTATGCGAGTGACGCTTTCCCGGTATCAAACTCAAGATCAAAGGAATTCACAGATTATATAAGTTATTGACATCATATTGCATAGCTTCTTTGAGAGGCATTTAGGAGTTGAGGACTATGTAAGGCTTAGGTATAATCATGAACAGCTTCTTTATTACAATTAGGAGCGACATTTCGGTGTAGGTTCTAACACTGTTATCAAGCAAGTGATTTTTTTAAGTTGTTCATCCATGACCTTATCCTTACATCATACTGTATAGCATTCAAAAATAACAAATACATGGTCTCTGATAGTGTAACATTATTTTGGACTGTACTGTTAGTTCATTTTGTCAACTTATTCCCGTAAAATTGTTTTACCCGGCCCCAATACCAAAACAAGACAATAAATTCTTTTAAGAATGTCCCACATGTATTGTACATGTGCAGTCAGGGAGAACGCAATATCCCTTCAGATATATATACTTTAGATGTTTATATCAGTCAGACAATAAAATGGTCTCCATGTAGAAGAAAAACTATTTTTAACTTCTATCAAGTGTTGTCAATCTAAACCATTTGAATTAAACAATTGGCAATAAAATGTACTAAATAATTAGAAATTCTCTCTCTTTTTTGTGTTACTGGGCTTTCTTATTTACTATTAAAACAATTAAAAAACTTTAGAATATTTATATCAGTCAGACAATAAAATGGTCTCCAAGTAGAAGAAAAACTATTTTTAACTTCTATCAAGTGTTGTCAATCTAAGCCCTTTGAATTAAACAATTAGCAATAAAACTTCTAAATAATTAGAAATTCCCTGTTTTTTGTGTTTTGGGGCTTTCTTATTTACTATTAAAACAAGTCAAGTGTATTTGAGAAAAAATTGTTAAATATATCCTAAGGCAGTCCTAAAGCTGTTGCCGTTCTGTCTATGAACACTGCAAGTGCTGGTGATCCTTATGTAAGCTGACGGATCAACATTCCGCCACAGCTTCACTGAAGCATATTTACAGAACAGGATTTGTCTTATGTCACCTGTGTTATACAAAGCTCATTAAGAGGTTTACTTTCACATATAGTGGAGATTTCTACTGTAACACTTTGAAATCACTTAGTTGAGTGTGACTCTTGAAAAGTAGCAAGTGACTGGAAGGTGATGTCCAGGTATGACCACGTAAATGAGGATTCAAACTCCGACATTATTGCATGGTGTATGTCTTCAGGCCTCACTACCACTTGGTATCCACATGCCAAGTTCATTGAAAATGATTTCCAAAATTCACATTAGGCTAAAAATAATAATAGTCTTGGTTCTCAGACACTGCCGGGGCGGTCGGGTAGCTTGGTGGTTAGAGTGTTTGCTTGTCATGCCGAAGACCCGGGTTCGATTCCCGACATCAGTACAATGTGAAGCCAATTTCTGGTGTCCCCCGCCGTGATATTGCTGGAATATTGCTCTAAAAGCGGAGTAAAACCATACTCACTCACTCACTCACTCACTCACTCACTCACTCACTCACTCACTCACTCACTCACTCACTCACTCACTCACTCACTCACTCACCCACTCACCCACCCCACCCACCCACTCACTCACTCACTCACTCAGACACATCATCTGCATCGCCTGCATCATCATAAAGTCTGCCACACGTTTTGTTTTTGTTTCCATTTTAAAAAGAATTTTAAAAACCCTAATACCTAAAAACAGGCCCTTTCCCAGGTTGATGGCACACAACTGTTTATTTGGTTACATACTAGTTTGCACAAGCCAAAAAAATCCACTTCATGCCTGCATTACACTTTCAAAAGTCATTGCCAGAAAACCAATTCTTTTCTTTTTTTAAGCCTTATGCGTTTTCATGTGCGTCAGTTTTCACGTCAATATACGTACATGTATCCTGCTTTGGACGAAGTGTACTGAGGTCTCAAGCAGCACCACAGATTATATTCCACTCCGTTTTTGGGAGATTCTGGTTATCAAAGACAATGGACATTTCAAAGGTCCTACTAATGTGTTCTTCCTTTAATTTTCCTCCCACGGTAATATATACTACTCACAAAATGTTGAGGATCACCCGATTCTTTCATATTTATGTAAATTTGTCATGGTATGACAGATCAACTTTTGTAATATGGTATGACAGATCAACTATAGTAATATGGTATGACAGATGAACTATAGTAATATGGCATGACAGATCAACTATAGTAATATGGTATGACAGATCAACTATAGTAATGTGGTATGACAGATCAACTATAGTAATATGGTATGACAGATCAACTATAGTAATATGGTATGACAGATCAACTATAGTAATAGGGAATGACAGATCAACTATGGTAATATGGCATGACAGATCAACTATAGTAATATGGTATGACAGATCAACTATAGTAATATGGTATGACAGATCAACTATAGTAATATGGTATGACAGATCAACTATAGTAATATGGCATGACAGATCAACTATAGTAATATGGCATGACAGATCAACTATAGTAATATGGTATGACAGATCAACTATAGTAATATGGTATGACAGATCAACTATAGTAATATGGAATGACAGATTAACTTCATTCATATGAAAGAATTGGGTGTTCCTTATATTCTTTAGTAGTATAGAACAAGTGTACATTGTACATAGTATGGCTTATGCTGCAATTCCAGCTATTTATACCTCATATTGATATGTTATATATTTGATTTTCCTTTGTAGGTATTTCCATACAGGTCAAACTAGTCTCTCTCTTGAAGCCTCCCTACTGCCTCTCCAACATGTCAAGCTCACCACCTCACAGACCAGGCACAGCAAGGAAGAAGACATCGTCTCCACCCGAGATAAAGATGACAAGGGCACAAGAGCTCCGGCAGAAGCCAATGCAATCGTCTAGCAGACTCAAGGTCAAGGCTGGTCTTCCGGTCGACAAGGGGTTGATAGTGAGGAATTCATTGAGCAGCCTTGGATCTCAAGAGTCTCTTCGCAGAGCCAGAAATTCAGCATCAAACTCCTCTATTAATTCTGTGGGTATGGAGTCATTTACATCTTCTGGAGAGACTTCTTATAAAGCCCCTCAGAGTCCAAAGGCTGAACCAGGCAAATCTGTTATTGACAGGTTATACAAGGCACCTGCGAATGCCAAACATGATTTCTTGAGAAAGTCGGATAGAGCACTGCCAGAAAGATACTATCAGGGAAAGATACCTGGTGAGGAAAATTTTGCAGGAACTGAAAGCTATAAAGTATATGATTGGGTAAATCGCAAAGTGAGATCCCAGGATGATATCCGTGATGAGAAGACGTGCTCTAGTGCTACTGTACTGACACATGCAACCCAAAGGCGAAACTCAGAACCCATAGGAGCAGACAACTTTGTCCATGGCTATAGCAGTGAGATGGAAAATGGGTTTAACATATATGGGCCAAGGTTTTTCCAGGAATACTTTCAGAAGGAATTGAGATGGTTAGCGCCAAGGGTGGACATGTTTCTTACGAGGAGAAATCTCGGCCCTAAACTGCCAGCTGCCACCAATGAGGAGTCTTACATCTGGGAAGAGAGGAAAGCCATTGTGGTGGCCCCAAGGCTGGAAGACCGCGAGGAACTATTTGTGGACATGATTGACATGCTATGTGGAGAGGTGACATGGGACAAGTTCTCAGAATTTGTTCACGAAAAGGAACCACAGGAAATCCCCAAGCCTTTTGTTCATGAGGAGGAAGTCCCCAAGCCTTTTGTTCATGAGGAGGAAGTCCCCAAGCCTTTTGTTCATGAGGTCCGGGAACCAGAGGAAGTCCCCAAGCCTTTTGTGGAGCATGTATCTGTACAGACGGAGAAAGTCAAGTAAGTGCATTAGTTTCATTGATGTCTTGTTCAGTATATACGAATGTTGTTGGTTTCATGTGAGCAGGTGAATGTATTTTAAATAGAATATTGCACTGAGGTGGCTGTGTCTCGTCCAGCCTGGATCTGCGGGAGATATGTCAAGTTGAGCCTGGGTCTGCCAGTGATGTGTCTAGTCCAGCCTGGATCTGCGGGAGATATGTCAAGTTGAGCCTGGGTCTGCCAGTGATGTGTCTAGTCCAGCCAAGATGTGCCAGTGATGTGTCTAGTCCAGCCTGGGTCTGCTGGTGATGTGTCTAGTTCAGCTTGGATCTGCTGGTGATGTGTCTCGTCCAGCCTGGATCTGCGGGAGATATGTCAAGTTGAGCCTGGGTCTGCCAGTGATGTGTCTAGTCCAGCCTGGATCTGCCAGTGATGTGTCTCGTAAAGCCTAGATCTGCTGGTGATGTGTCTAGTCCAGCCTGGATCTGCTGGTGATGTGTCTAGTCCAGCCTGGATCTGTTGGTGATGTGTCTAGTCCAGCCAGGGTCTGCAGGTGATGTGTTTAGTCCAGCCTGGGTCTGCAGGTGATGTGTCTAGTCCAGCCTGGATCTGCTGGTGATGTGTCTAGTCCAGCCTGGGTCTGCAGGTGATGTGTCTAGTCCAGCCTGGATCTGCTGGTGATGTGTCTAGTCCAGCCTGGATCTGTTGGTGATGTGTCTAGCCCAGCCTGGATCTGTTGGTGATGTGTCTAGTCCAGCCTGGGTCTGCCAGTGAAGTGTCTAGTCCAGCCTGGGTCTGCAGGTGATGTGTCTAGTCCAGCCTGGGTCTGCTGGTGATGTGTCTAGTCTAACCTGGGTCTGCAGGTGATGTGTCTAGTCCAGCCTGGGTCTGCTAGTGATGTGTCTCGTAAAGCCTGGGTCTGCTGGTGATGTGTCTAGTTCAGCTTGGATCTGCTGGTGATGTGTCTCGTCCAGCCTGGATCTGCTGGAGATATGTCAAGTTGAGCCTGGGTCTGCCAGTGATGTGTCTAGTCCAGCCTGGATCTGCCAGTGATGTGTCTCGTAAAGCCTAGATCTGCAGGTGATGTGTCTAGTCCAGCCTGGATCTGCTGGTGATGTGTCTAGTCCAGCCTGGATCTGTTGGTGATGTGTCTAGTCCAGCCAGGGTCTGCAGGTGATGTGTTTAGTCCAGCCTGGGTCTGCAGGTGATGTGTCTAGTCCAGCCTGGATCTGCTGGTGATGTGTCTAGTCCAGCCTGGGTCTGCAGGTGATGTGTCTAGTCCAGCCTGGATCTGCTGGTGATGTGTCTAGTCCAGCCTGGATCTGTTGGTGATGTGTCTAGCCCAGCCTGGATCTGTTGGTGATGTGTCTAGTCCAGCCTGGGTCTGCCAGTGAAGTGTCTAGTCCAGCCTGGGTCTGCAGGTGATGTGTCTAGTCCAGCCTGGGTCTGCTGGTGATGTGTCTAGTCCAGCCTGGGTCTGCCAGTGAAGTGTCTAGTCCAGCCTGGGTCTGCCAGTGAAGTGTCTAGTCCAGCCTGGGTCTGCAGGTGATGTGTCTAGCCCAGCCTGGGTCTGCTGGTGATGTGTCTAGTCCAGCCTGGGTCTGCTGGTGATGTGTCTAGTCCAGCCTGGGTCTGCCAGTGAAGTGTCTAGTCCAGCCTGGGTCTGCAGGTGATGTGTCTAGTCCAGCCTGGATCTGCCAGTGAAGTGTCTAGTCCAGCCTGGGTCTGCCAGTGAAGTGTCTAGTCCAGCCTGGGTCTGCAGGTGAAGTGTCTAGTCCAGTCTGGATCTGCTGGTGATGTGTCTAGTCTAGCCTGGGTCTGCTGGTGATGTGTTTAGTCCAGCCTGGGTCTGCAGGTGATGTGTTTAGTCCAGCCTGGATCTGCTGGTAATGTGTCTAGTCCAGCCTGGATCTGCCAGTGATGTGTCTCGTAAAGCCTGGATCTGCTGGTGATGTGTCTAGTCCAGCCTGGATCTGCCAGTGATGTGTCTCGTAAAGCCTGGATCTGCTGGTGATGTGTTTAGTCCAGCCTGGGTCTGCAGGTGATGTGTTTAGTCCAGCCTGGGTCTGTAGGTGATGTGTCTAGTCTAGCCTGGGTCTGCTGGTGATGTGTTTAGTCCAGCCTGGATCTGCCAGTGATGTGTCTAGTCCAGCCTGGATCTGCTGGTGATGTGTCTAGTCCAGCCTGGATCTGCTGGTGATGTGTCTCGTAAAGCCTGGATCTGCTGGTGATGTGTTTAGTCCAGCCTGGGTCTGCAGGTGATGTGTCTAGTCCAGCCTGGGTCTGTAGGTGATGTGTCTAGTCTAGCCTGGGTCTGCTGGTGATGTGTTTAGTCCTGCCTGGATCTGCCAGTGATGTGTCTAGCCCAGCCTGGGTCTGCTGGTGATGTGTCTCGTAAAGCCTGGATCTGCAGGTGATGTGTCTCGTAAAGCCTGGATCTGCAGGTGATGTGTTTAGTCCAGCCTGGGTCTGCTGGTGATGTGTCTAGCCCAGCCTGGGTCTGCTGGTGATGTGTCTCGTAAAGCCTGGATCTGCCAGTGATGTGTCTCGTAAAGCCTGGATCTGCAGGTGATGTGTTTAGTCCAGCCTGGGTCTGCTGGTGATGTGTCTAGTCCAGCCTGGGTCTGCTGGTGATGTGTCTAGTCTAGCCTGGGTCTGCTGGTGATGTGTCTAGTCTAACCTGGGTCTGCTGGTGATGTGTCTAGTCCAGCCTGGGTCTGCTGGTGATGTGTCTAGCCCAGCCTGGGTCTGTAGGTGATGTGTCTAGTCTAACCTGGGTCTGCTGGTGATGTGTCTAGTCCAGCCTGGGTCTGCTGGTGATGTGTCTAGTCTAGCCTGGGTCTGCAGGTGATGTGTCTTGTCTAACCTGGGTCTGCAGGTGATGTGTCTAGTCCAGCCTGGGTCTGCTAGTGATGTGTCTCGTAAAGCCTGGGTCTGCTGGTGATGTGTCTAGTCCAGCCTGGGTCTGTAGGTGATGTATCTAGTCTAACCTGGGTCTGCTGGTGATGTGTCTAGTCTAGCCTGGGTCTGCAGGTGATGTGTTTAGTCCAGCCTGGGTCTGCCAGTGATGTGTCTCGTAAAGCCTGGATCTGCCAGTGATGTGTCTAGTCCAGACTGGATCTGCTGGTGATGTGTCTAGTCCAGTCTGGATCTGCAGGTGATGTGTCTAGTCGAATGTTGATCTGCTGGTGATGTGTCTAGTCCAGCCTGGATCTGCTGGTGATGTGTCTAGTCTAGCCTGGGTCTGTAGGTGATGTGTCTAGTCCAGCCTGGATCTGTTGGTGATGTGACTAGTCTAGCCTGGGTCTGCTGGTGATGTGTCTAGTCCAGCCTGGATCTGTTGGTGATGTGTCTAGTCTAGCCTGGGTCTGCTGGTGATGTGTCTAGTCTAGCCTGGGTCTGCTGGTGATGTGTCTAGTCTAGCCTGGGTCTGCTGGTGATGTGTCTAGTCTAGCCTGGGTCTGCTGGTGATGTGTCTAGTCCAGCCTGGGTCTGCCAGTGAAGTGTCTAGACCAGCCTGGATCTGTTGGTGATGTGTCTAGTCTAGCCTGGGTCTGCTGGTGATGTGTCTAGTTGAGTGTTGATCTGCTGGTGATATGTTTGAGTCCCAGATTTGCTCCAGTGATGATCCTTGGTTTGTCATCCCCATGTATATGAGGGATCATGGGTTCCTCAGTGTTGATAATAACCTCTTCTAAATGTGCCAAGATTTATTCTGTGATAAAACAATGTTAAAATCAGCTTTAAAACAATTCACTCACTCACTACCTGTCCAAACATCTTAACTTAAATCACAAATTATGACAGAATATACAATAGCATCAGGTTAGGCACTGTTGCCCACAGCTGCATTCAAAGGGAATGTTTAATGTGACCTAGGAACTATGGCTGTGATATTTGGTAGGTCTGGTTGATGTGAGAGAACAGTATTATCTCATTGTCATAGTCTCACTCTCATCACATGAAGATCCTGAAGATCTGGGTTAGAAAAGGTCTTCAGCAACCCATGCGTGCCGTAAAAGGCGCCTAATGGGATTGAATGACTTGGTTGATGTATGTCATCATATCCCAATTGCGTAGATCAGTGCTCATGGTGTCAATCACTGGATTGTCTGATCAAGACTTGATTATTTACAGACCGCAATCATATAGCTGGATTTAACAACAAACAAACAAACAAAACAAACTAAATAAATATAACAGGCACCAGATTTTTTAGGATGTTTTGAAACCACTTGATTAAAAATGTGCGGCCTTAGTATTCGATCCCTAAAAGTAATTCATTATAAATAAACTTGTGTCTACTTTGGTAATACTCAAATGCAATGAACTTGTGTCCTTACAGATGTGATGCATGGACCATTACACTGAAACCATTTATGGTGAACAAGCTGGTTGGAGCTGAACCAAAGCATAATATGAGTACAAGCACTGACGACCTGAGGAAGTATGTGAAGCCACGGATCACTGTCGGGACCACTACAGCTGATCTCCAGGAACTGACCAAACCTCGGGGGATTCCGGTAATCCGTGTCGAGGTTGGTACATCAACAGGGGACCTGCATGATGATTGGAGTGACTCTTCCCTCACACCCAGGGCGTCGCCGGTCTCCGTGGTTCAGGATGATGTGTCACCTTCAACCTATAACTCCCTCCATTCTGAAAACCTCAAGAGAAGTCTCATTGACAGGGTGAACAGTTACTACAGGGAGATTAACGTAACCAATCTCCATAGCAACAAGTGGGCAGACAGAAGGAGATCTTCAAAAGCGGTGATGACAGATGATGAAACAACACAGATTCATTCTGAGCTGAACAAACTAGCTTCTGAACGAATTGAGATTATTGAACTTCTTGCCTTACACATTCCCAACTTGCCATCTTGTTTGACAGTTGAACTACTTGAGGCTAAACTCAACTACTCTATTGGACAGACTGATCAGTTGCTGGCCCTTCTGGAAGACTCCTGGGAACTTGAGGCCAGCCTTCCAAGCTCTTCTCGAAGCAAGGAAATGATCAACATCACAAGGGAAATCATCTTCCAAAGCAGAGCTGAACTTGAAGAGTCCAAGAAAGCCATAAAACTGTGTCTGGATGAAGTGAGGCACATCCAAGCTGGAGGCCACAGCAGGAAAAGGTTTCTCAACAGGGAGATCATGAAAATGAAAAGAAGAGCCGAGATTGAAGCCTTCAAGTTGGAGAGAATGTGGGAACAACTGTTCTATGAGAGGTCAAAAAAGCAAGAACAGTTCTTAAGGTCTACCTATCCGAGGTCACCATCAGTTTCCAGCACTGATTCTGCTGTAGATGCTATGGAGAAATATGTTCACTTTTTGACTGATCTCAGGAAAAGAAGTGCATTGGCTGCCTCAGAAGATGAGTTGAATGACTTGAGAATGCGCTCGCACCTGTCTCACTATGACTATGGTGAGCACCACGACAGCAGCTGGGACACCTCCAGCATCTTCTCTACATCCTCACAAGCATCACATGCTTCCCCCAGACACCACAAGGACTACCTGGTGGAACTCAGGAGGCAGATGGCGTTGGAGAGGGAGCGAGACTTTCCGTACTCCCGATCCAGATCAATATCTCCCTGCCGCTGCAGTTTCTCCTCCACCCACTCACGACTGTCCTCTCCCTCACAGGTCGACTCAGGCCTGGGTCAGTCTGGTGCCAGCTCTGCACTACAGCCACAATACTCCAGTAGTAGTTGGTCAAAGAGGCACACTGGACCTGGCTCTCTATACACTGCAAGTTCCAAGTCAACCGCTTACAGAAGGCAAGTACCAACAGTACCAAACGCTTCTGATTGGATATCTCTCTTTTAAACACCATTACCACAAAACAATCTGTTCCATTTTTGTCTTAATGTTCATTGTTATGTTACAGCTCTTCCCAACAACCTTCGTCACTGTACATGTCTCAAGTTGACCTGTTGAGCCCTACACGTCCAAGTTACAGGTCAGCGGGCCGGTACTCAGTCAAGTAGAAGATCAGCAACTTGTCCCTTCTTGTCCAAGAGGGTGCCAACCCCCTTTGGTACACTGGATACCGAGTCCTGGTGAAAGGATGCCAATATTTAAATGGCAAATCAATAAAATATTTAGCCCTAAGCATGTAAACATGCATAATCATGCATTCTTTGTGAAATCCCATTCTAATTTACTAGGACCAGCTGTGTACACTGCTATGACTCAAGAGTCCTTAAACTGCATGCCAAGACAAATTAAGTGGTATGTCGGATGCCGATAGAAGGGGATTTGGCCCCCTGTCAAAGGTACAGGATGGTGGGCAGGCAGTCAACTTTCAAGTATATCATCAACTTGTGACTACTTGTCCAAGGTGCAGATCAGCAAGCAGTGACTCATTCAAGTAGATCATGGTCTCTGACAAAGCCCTATGTCAAGACACCTGTTTTATCTTCAAAATACACCAGACTAACCAACACACTTCTAAACATTTCAGTATCATGTTTGAATGTTTCCTGTTTCTTTACTTTTAAGTATGTTGCCAAGTTAATACTAAAGAAAATGTCCATACTTGTTTTAAGCACATGTATATCCTGTTTGGTTGTGACACTTGGATGTAGAGTGATCTCCCTTTAACTATTTACACGATACTAATCGCTGAGTGTAGCAACTTCTTGTATATTTTCCAGGATGTATAAGGCTTTTCATTTTCTGAAAGGAAATCCAAATTGCCTTTGGTGCCTTAATTGTGTTTAGAATCAGAGATGAGAGAGGGTCAATGGAGTTGAACGTGTAAGTACCAGGATGTTAGTTGACATGATTTGGATGGTCTGTACATGTTAGTCCTCTGACAATTATACATCATGATACGACTCATATAACCTCATTTATTTATTACTTACACAAATCCAAAGCTCTGACTGTGATAACTTGTGTCAAGTATTGTTATGGAATATGTATAGTGACATGTATGTAGTGGGGTGCGCGGTATTACCGGTAGTTCGGTAAATTGAGGTTCGGTCATTGCATGATACATATCACAATATCATGTTTTTATGCTCGGTATATCGGGTGATTTCAAATAGCAATTTTTATCATGTGTTTAAAGTTATACACTTGGCAAATATGTAATCATTCGAAATGTTTCCGTAATTCCAAAATCCAAGTTCACATTCTCACATTCAGCTCTGGTGGTTAGCACCAAGTCATCACTGTCCCGGAGTGTGCATCCTTTCCATATTTATTGAATTAGTAAACATTATGCTGTTCCAGCATCTTGTTTTGTTCCATATTAATATGAACATTAATTCCTGCATTAATGTTTCAAATTGCTTCTGAATTCAAAATTTTGAATTATACAATATATTGTGATACGTATCGCAATACGACCTTGTGCATTGTAAAATACTGTGATACACTTTAAACATCCAATACCCATCCCTAGTATGTAGTATATGTGGAGAGAATGTTAATGATAATATTTGTCTGCTATTTTTATGTAGCAGTTCAGATATTTAATATTTATGTACCGTATTCTGATTCAAGGCAGCTCATTGTGATGACACATATATATATACTACTCAAAAGTTAAAAGAACATGACAGATTAACTACAGTAATATGAAAGAATCGGGTGTTCTTTAACTTCTTTTGTGTAATATAGATATCATTTAGGGAAGACCGTAGAATAAGGGTCTTTTTAGTGACACGTTCTTTCAATATTATAATATAAATAGAATAAATATTGATGAATAGTACATAATAGTGTTAGACTGGGTATATTTATTTGACTAAGTAAGGTAAAAATATAAAATAATTTCACTTCCATCTGTGCAGTGGAGCTCAGTGCAGCCCCCTGGTGCATGAAGTTTACAGAATAACTGATTACCGGTAGTTGAAAGGAGTGGCTTTCAGTATGACATTGGGAAGACTTTATACTAACTGATGAAAGAAAGTTCCTACTAAATGTTTATCACTGTACCCTTCACAATAATTACTGTTGTTTCCTCAATAAGGTCATACCAACTTTCGTTTCATCCAAAGTTTTACAAAATTGAAACCAAAACAAACAGCACATGATTCAATGTTAAAGGTTCAAACCACTATTTGTTGCAAGTTGTTTAAAATCAAATATAAATATTAAACATCAGCACCAGGGAACTATTTTTCTCCTGCTACATCTGGGCATACTTCCCTTGAATATTAAATATTTTTTTAACACAAAAAACACTATTGGCAGGCAGGAGTGTCACCAATGTGAAATCTCTGAGCAAAGCCAGACTTTGAGGGGGGATTGGGTGGGGTGTTACGGATTACAGCTCGCAAAATCAGGTCTGTAGGTTGAAAAAAATAAAATATATATTTTTTGTTTCCTAAGTTAGGAAAATAAAATAAAATTTTGAGATGGGAAGAATATGGATTCATGATAATTCATTGTTTTGAATTTTTAAGAAATATTTTCAACAGTTTTTAATAATAATATTTAAAAAAATGTTTTTATTTTACTAGTCAGTAAATACTTTTGTTATTTTTCTTGTTTCTGGTTGGCAGAATATAAAAACAACTAATTTCCAATTTTATATTTTTTCAATATTTGAGTGTCGTAAACCAAGTTTTAAAAGTGTTTATAAAACAACGTAGGTTGCACTTAATGAATGCATAATTCAAGGTAACTGTGATATAGCTTGTTCACTTGTGAGCACTTTTATGTGAACCTATGGAGCATTTAAAGTGGGCACACTTAATATAATACTCACTCATTTATAGCCTAGGCTTGTGACACACATACATAGTGGCCATGTGCTGTGTGACGACTAACACTGAGATAGCACCAACACGATAATATATGGCAGTCTTACCACTTGTCTTTTTTATCAATGTTGGTTATGATGTAATAAAAAATGTACCCGAGATATCTTGACTTATTTTATATCAAAAACAATGATTGGGCAAACATTGTTTCTCTGATGTATGTTAACATGTCATTAACCATATACTCCGGAACAATAGGAGAGTGAATGAGTGAGTTTAAATTTAAGCCGCTTTTAGCCATATTCCAGCAATATTACAGCAGGGGACACCAGAAATGGACTTCACACATTGTACCATGTCTGGAATCCTGGTCTTCGGGGCAACGAGCGAATGCTTTAGCCACAAGGCTACCCGACCGCACCTCTGGATAATAGCACTCACTCATATGATGACTCACTGCACCAAGACTTATCGAGATATATAATTACACAATAACCAATGAGCTACGAGAAATTACAGATAACCTGTTCCGAGTGAATGAATGGGACAGGTACTTGGGTATTGGTTGGATGGGTCCACAGTAGGACGCAGGTATCCACAGGACTCACGGTTAGTCACGTGATCATATATCGTTTAATGACAATGATAATAAAAAGCCATTGTTACACTACAAGTCGCTAACGTTCACATTTCTTTCTGCCTACGCATCCATTCCTTCTGACTGAGTAAAGATAAAGCTTCAGTCAACTTGAGTGTATGCATGACAAGATTGTTTTATACATATATCTAAATAGTTTTTGCCAGGGCTCCCGGAAAACAGTTCGCAATTGGACATTAAGTCACCAGCTCTTGAAACCTACAGTGGGTACCCGGGTAGGGTCAGGTAATAGGGGGTCGGACACCTTGGTATCAAATTTGTACTTGTCCCAGCCCTTGTCCAGATCCTTTGTCAAGGGACACCATTCATTCAAGTTATTACACATGATCATTCTCTGATCGGTAATATGGCATGATGACTTACCATACTATATCAAAATATTGAAAATAAGGTTTTCTATTCCTATGCTTTTTCTCAATACAAATCACTAGATTTTCTGGTCCGCTCTAGATTATTTACAGGCAGCGGTCACATAGCTGGTATAGTGTTGAGTGTGGTATTAAGTAACAATCAAAACCTAAGTACATCTGCTACAAGCCTGACAGGGGACTTGTCCCAAGTATTGAGCATCAGATCACCTAGCTCAAATGTGTGTGTCTGTCAATCTTGATATGCTACATTTTCAACATCTCAGAAGAACAAAGGGGACCAGTTACTTACATGACATTAATATATATATATATATTTTACGCACATTATCAATTTTCAAAATGTTACCTATCTGCAGCTAAGCAAGGGTTAGCACACAGCCGAGATCTTACTGGTAAGTATGCCACATCATAAACCTCCAGTGACTTAATGCTATTGTTCTCTAGTCGTCTTAAGTCGCGTTATATAATATCCTGGGGATTTTATATCATTTCCCAGTCATATTTGTTATATAATATGTTATAATATCCTGGCGATTTTATGTATCTTTTAAGATTGTAACATATGAATGTTTATCACTAGAAATTTATTTTGAATTTTAACACAATGTAATGAAATGTAAAATCAAATGACAAATGAACACGCAACCTTCGTATCTGAAGCCAGTTGAGTGTACCGCAAGGCTACAGAGGCGCTGATAAATCACAATGCTTTTAAGAATGTCTTTTTCAAGTACCATACGCCAGCAACACGCCCGTTTCTTAGGTTCATTGAAAGTATGTTTGAAACATAAAAATGTTGATAAAGGTTGTTTTAAGTTTAATTTTTGGTTTATAAGTTGTATAAAACTCTTATCCTTGGGATAACCTCAGGGCTTTTATCCCGCGAATGCAGGTTTAAAATATCCTAAAAACCCTCGGACGTGCTACACATATCTTCCAAAGACATCGAAGCCCGGGTTTAAAGCCTGCTCCCACATGGAGACAAACACATTATACGGCTGTAAAATATCAGACAACAACACCTTCAGGTTGACGAGGGTTGCCCCACATTCATAAAAACAACAAGGCAATCCATACAGCTTTGGCTTTATTGGTAACGTGAAACATGATAGTGTATGATACATTTACCAAAACATATTTTCTGCAGTAGAAGTACAGTGACAGTACAATCAGAGGGAGTGGTGGAGGTAGAGAGAGGACACACCCAGCTGCCTGTCACCCCAGCCAGCTCTCTGCCAGGCCCTAGTGTCGCCTGGTTGCCATCGTACATTATACTGGCAATCGATAAAACATGATCACAAACTTGGAACATAAACTTGAGATGATTGCCGGCTACTTGACCTAGTAGGTGACTGCAGGCATGGAGAGGACAGTGCAGCTGTGATAAACCAAACACAACATGAACTTAACACATTTATTCTAAGCAATGGACTATTAAGCATGTACTGGAACATTTAATGTGGACCCTGTTGAACAGAGGAACATATTCCCTCACAACAGGGTGCAGCTCGAACAGTTTAAACTGAGGCAGTATACGTCTCAGTGATCATTGGACTTGGTACTGAGTCAGTATACATCTCAGTGATCATTGGACTTGGTACTGAGGCAGTATATGTCTCAGTGATCATTGGACTTGGTACTGAGGCAGTATACGTCTCAGTGATCATTGGACTTGGTACTGAGGCAGTGTACGTCTCAGTGATCATTGGACTTGGTACTGAGGCAGTACACGTCTCAGTGATCATTGGACTTGGTACTGAGGCAGTACACGTCTCAGTGATCATTGGACTTGGTACTGAGGCAGTATATGTCTCAGTGATCTGTCAGACTTGGTACTGAGACAGTACACGTCTCAGTGATCATTGGACTTGGTACTGAGGCAGTATACATCTCAGTGATCATTGGACTTGGTACTGAGGCAGTATATGTCTCAGTGATCATTGGACTTGGTACTGAGGCAGTACACGTCTCAGTGATCATTGGACTTGGTACTGAGGCAGTATGTCTCAGTGATCATCTGTCTTATACGTCCCCTGTCGTACACTGGTATATACCAACAGCGTCAACACTTGGTACCATTGTGTCCTCCGATTCCTCTGACTTACACTGGTATCAACAGAGTCAACACTGACTAACATCACATGTCGGTGGTTCATAGTAATAAGTGTGACATTCATATTCTTTATTTTGAGACCATCATGGTTTGTTCATAAATAACATTTTGAGATCACAGATCATCTGATAATTGTTTTATGGACTATATATCACATAACAGCCATTTCCTTAGCTACATTTTGCTTGCTTGCAGACCAGTGTCCAGAGAACTCAGTTTGTTATTATAATCTATTATTTGGTAAAATTTATTGAGCTCCTAAACATTAAAAAAATAAGAACAGGCTGATCAAACAAAAATCCCCTCCCCACTGAAAATCAAATGGTTGCTCCCTTTTGTTGCTGTATCCAGTAACACCAAGACAACCGGACATGTTGAGTGAGTGAGTTGGGTTTAACGCCACTTTTAACACTATTCCAGTTTTATCACGGTGTGTCAGCTTAATGTGGGAGGAAAGCCCGAAGTGATGCATGTCTCGGACGTTTAACCACTTTGGTGAAACCCACAAGCACGGGTATGGTGCTGACAAACCTAGAAACATAATCAGGGTGAACCAGGATTCGAACCCACAATCATAGGTTTCTGGTGTGTCCAAAGGATGCAACTCTGCACAGCGAATTGCGGCGCCTTAGACGACTGGGCCACCCTTGCCCCACACCGGACATGTCGACTGTCCGAACTTATTAGATAACGTAACAAACATGGAACTTCGGTCTGCAACACAAGTATTTCAATTGATGTACCAGGACAAAACTTCATGTGGGTATGTTTAGTTAACAAATATTACATTTGATTCTTTAGACAAAACATCATGAATGTAATACAATGACAAAAATTGAATAAAAGTGGATTATGTTGACGGCAAAGCAATTGTGACCATCCTTGTAGCTACTAAGTCAGTCTGACATCAAATGTTTAAGCTGAATGATGTAGGTTAACTGCAGAAGATGAGATATTTTAGAAGAGCTTCACAGGGTTACTGATCTCCTGAAGATGGAGGCCAGGTGAGGGAGACACTGCCTGGATGGCTGTGCGTGAGTTTGGTTAACGCTGCTTTGAACAGCATTCCAGTCATATCACAGCATGTCAGCTTATCGTGGGAGGAAAGCCCGAAGTATGTAGGTGCCAGATGTTTACCACTTTGGTGAAACCCACGGGTGTGGTGCTGACAACACTCGAAACAATCCAGGCAAACCCCGGTTTTGACCCCATGATCACAGGTTCCTGACATGCCCAAGGGATGCAACTCTGCACAAGAAATTGCCACGTCTTAGACAAGTGGGTCAGGCAGGTGTAAGGCTGGATACACAAGCAGCATATAGTAAAACTGGTCAAGCACTTGACGAAGCCCCAGTCAAACATCATCCTTCAATACACATCAAACAGCACAGTGTCAACAGAGGGTTAGCTTTCCTACACATATCACCAACATTACGTCCATCACAACCGAAATATCTGCAAAGTTATCAGAGGAACGAGAAGGTTCAACAACGACTTGAGCGTCTCCGCACAATACATCTGTCTGGGCTGTACATCTCAAACAGTATTTACACGCCATCTCCACACGTAACACAAGAGGCAAAACATTTCTCTCATGTGGGGTTAGCAATATACAAGTTATCTTAGTTGACAATGACATACAAGGAAAACATTCATGACAAGATACAGAGCTGTGACCTGTGGTGAGACATCTTCCCGAGGCAAGAGCGTCCACTAACCTTTTTATCAAAGTCTTGTTTCCATCCTTGCCCCCATCAAGCCCACTTTCCTGTGCTAAATATGATTGGACTATTGCACATATCAATTTGGTTGAGTTGTATGTCCCTTTTAGCAATATTTCAGCAATATAACCACAGGGGACACCGGAAAATGGGCTTCACACATTGTACCCATGTGTGGAATTGAACCCGGGTCTTCGGCATGATGAGCCAACGCTTTATAACCACTAGGCTACCCCACCGCCCCCCCATCTTTGTGGAGCTATATGAGATAAGAACAGCAATCTGATTGGATATCGCGTTTTCATTACAAGGGGCACAACTGGTGATCTGCGTGAGGTGGCAAAGGGTCGAGCCAAGAAAAGTGGCCTTGATATGGCAAGGGTAGAAACTAGGCTTTGATATAGGCTATTGGACACGCTTGCCTCGGGAAGACGGTGGTGAGAAGATCCTGCAAGTTTCTCTCCCAAGCAAATTACAGCATTTTAACGTTAACTCGGACAGGTGGATGTTAGCTAAGACAACTAGAACCACATGCCCATACCGGTCAGTGAGTGAGTTGAGTTTAATGCCGCTTTTAACAGTATTCCAGTAATATCGCGGCATGTCAGCTTAATGTGGGAGGAAAGCCCGAAGTGATGCAGGTCATGTTTACTACTTCAGTGAAACCCACGAGCACGGGTATGGTGCTGACAAACCTAGAAACATAATCGGGGCGAACCTGGATTCGAACCCACAATCATAGGTTTCTGGCGTGCCCAAGGGACGCAACTCTGCACAGCGAATAGCGGCGCCTTTGACGACTGGGCCACCAGTGCCCCCATATTCCCATACTAAACGTAACTAATGAGGCAATATATATACTACACAAAAAAAGTAAAACAACACCCAATTTTTTCGTACGACTATAATTAATGTCATGGCCATGATAGATTAACTAATCATATGAAACAATCAAGGGTTGTCCAACTTTGTTTGAGGTGTATATTAATCTAGCATTACAATCTGTAGTGGGCTGAAGTAAACAAACACAGTGATTGGAGCATTCATGCATTCCTTTTCTCTTTGTGAAATAAATAACTGATCTTTGATACATATATAATATACAGGGTCCCATTCCACCAGGCTATCTTAGCACTAAGGTGATCATAACTCCATACTTTCACATAGGCTTACGATTGTTGTAGCGCTAAGATCGCCTTGTGGAAGTGGTCCTAGAACAATATCTGTCAAGACCAATGGGGTGCCACAACAAGAGCAGAATAAAGATGTGATCTCATATATTGCCAATGGTCAATATCAATATCAATGGTAAACTATACAACAAGAAATAAGTATTTCGCATGTAGAGCTTTCTTGAGAGTTTTGTTTGTTTGTTTGTTGTTTAACGCCGCACTCAGCAATATTCAAGCTATATGACAGCGGTCTGTAAAATAATCGAGTCTGGACCAGACAATCCAGTGATCGACATCATGAGCATCGATCCACGCAATTGGGATCGATGACATGTATCAACCAAGTCAGCGAGCCTGACCACCCAATCCCGTTAGTCACCTCTTACGACAAGTATAGTCGCCTTTTACAACAAGCATAGCCGCCTTTTACGGCAAGCATGGTTGCTGAAGACCTATTCTACCCCGGAATCTTCACGGGTCTTTCTTGAGAGTACACATCTTACACCTAGTGGGAAATGGAGATGAAGCTGTGATGGGTACACGACCCACTCAGGGTACTGCTCCATCACCAAGTCCTCAACTTGTCATCTCGTTGTTATTCGGTTTCGGTTTCGGTAATCTGAACAATGCATCATCTGTACATAGCAGTGACGGGGAGTTTCACCAGATAAAAAATGTACAGAAATGGTGGCAACATCCTGCTGTTATATTTCATGGAGAACAAAATGTTTGGATTTGTTTTAAACTTCACTCAAGCATTTGGTGATGAGCCAAGCTAAAACATACCCTAACATGACTTGTCTGAAAATGCCTAAACAGAATTGCACAAGTGCAGTGTTACAAGTTCTGCACATCTACATAAGGCCTTATATTTTCTATTAGTTGGTTTACAATATTTTGGCCTAAAATGTAATGAAGGTAGTCAAAAATATTCTTAAAATCCAGACTAGTACTGCTACTAAACAATGAAAAACAAACTTGTAGGGCACACCATCATGGAAGAATAATTGTGAAACAATACCGAAACATAATTGATTGGTTTTTTTTGTGTTAGAAAAAAAGATTTAATATGTATTATTCACTATTTCTTATGAGCAGCGGTGATAAAATCTTGTATGTTTTTTTCATTTTGCCTACCGTAATTTTAAAACAGGTGGCCAAAATATGTGTTGTCAAAATCATTTTACTTTATCTTTAATTTCAAGTTTTTGTCTGTCTGTCTTGTTAACCAACTAAAAAAAATTTAAGGTCTAATGTGTATTGGACTATTTGCCTGTACACTCCTGCGGCAATGTATAGTAAGAGTGTTGAGTGCTGTCTGTGTGCGGTCCAGCCAGACTAGTGTCTGTAGCTGGTGTTGTACAGCCAGCTGGCTTGTGTCTGTAGCTGGCTTGTGTCTGTAGCTGGCTCGTGTCTGTAGCTGGCTTGTGTCTGTAGCTGGCTTGTGTCTGTAGCTGGCTCGTGTCTGTAGCTGGCTCGTGTCTGTAGCTGGCTCGTGTCTGTAGCTGGCTCGTGTCTGTAGCTGGCTCGTGTCTGTAGCTGGCTCGTGTCTGTAGCTGGTGTTGTGTGGCCGGCTGGCTTGTGTCTGTAGCTGGTGTTGTGTGGCCGGCTGGCTCGTGTCTGTAGCTGGTGTTGTGTGGCCGGCTGGCTCGTGTCTGTAGCTGGTGTTGTGTGGCCGGCTGGCTCGTGTCTGTAGCTGGTGTTGTGTGGCCGGCTGGCTCGTGTCTGTAGCTGGTGTTGTGTGGCCGGCTGGCTCGTGTCTGTAGCTGGTGTTGTGTGGCCGGCTGGCTCGTGTCTGTAGCTGGTGTTGTGCGGCCGGCTGGCTCGTGTCTGTAGCTGGTGTTGTAGGGCCGTCTAGCGAGTCTGTTGTACGGCCAGCTGGCTAGAGTCTGTTGTGTGGCTGGCTGGGTCGTGTCTGTAGCTGGTGTTGTGTGGCCGGCTGGCTGGTGTCTGTAGCTGGTGTTGTGTGACGGCTGGCTGGTGTCTGTTGTAGCTGGTGTTGTATGGCCGGCTGGCTAGAGTCTGTTGTGGGCCGGCTGGCTATGACTCCAGCAACACATGCCACCGACACACTTGCTCGCCTTTACTCTCCCTCATGTCGACCCAGTGGGAGCCCTCCTCCTCCCCACTACAGTTCATGCCTGAAACACACAATTCTCTCTTGAACAGACATAGCCTTGTCATTGTCAAAAAGAATTTGCTTCAAATGTTTAAAGCACATGAAACCGACAGAGCACACCGCCAGGTTGATCGTCAACATATCCTCATCTGTTCCTTGACAATCATCTGACAATCTCCTGAGCGGAGAGTGAGTGAGTTGGGTTCAGTATGTGCCTGGTAGACATGCAAAGTTTTGTAAGAAAGTATTTAACAGTTTTTTTGTTATGCTCCGGAAATGAACACTATCCTTATAGAAACTAAGTCCAACTTGTTACCATGGAACCTTAAAAAATAAAAATTTCTAAAATTCCAAAATAGCAAAAGGCACCACTTCAGTATGTGACTGATAGATTTGCCAAGTTTCGATCAAATACACTGAATGGTTTTCGAGCTCTGCCCCGGAAAAGGAAATGATTACGGACAGACAGACGGACAGACAGACTGGCTGGCTGGCTGATCGCTATATCCCCCCCACATTATATGGGGACAACCGTCTGGAGGAAGTTCTTACACATAAAGCAAAGCAAACTGACGTCTCTTGCAGCACTGAAAATATCTGACAATCGCCTAACACCATACCCTACTTAAAAGAAATCTGCTAGTCTCCCTAAGCACCGCACCATATTTAGAGAACCAGACAGTCTCCCTTAGCACCACACCATATTTAGAGAACCCCCGATTGTCTACCTTAGCACTGCACCATATTTAGAGAACATCTGATTGTCTCCCTTAGCACCACACCATATTTAGAGAACCCCCGATTGTCTCCCTTAGCACCACACCATATTTAGAGAACCTCCGATTGTCTCCCTTAGCACCACACCATATTTAGAGAACCCCGATTGTCTACCTTAGCACTGCACCATATTTAGAGAACACCCGATTGTCTCCCTTAGCACCACACCATATTTAGACAACCCCTTATTGTCTCCGTTAGCACCGCACCATATTTAGGGAACCCCCATTTGTCTCCCTTCGCACCACACCACATTTAGAGAACCCCTAATTGTCTCCCTTAGCACCGCACCATATTAAGAGAACCCCTTATTGTCTCCCTTAGCACCACACCATATTTAGAGAGCATCTGATTGTCTCCCTTAGCATCACACCATATTTAGAGAGCATCTGATTGTCTCCCTTAGCACCACACCATATTTAGAGAGCATCTGATTGTCTCCCTTAGCACCGCACCATATTAAGAGAACCCCTTATTGTCTCCCTTAGCACCACACCATATTTAGAGAGCATCTGTTGTCTCCCTTAGCACCACACCATATTTAGAGAGCATCTGATTGTCTCCCTTAGCACCACACCATATTTAGAGAGCATCTGATTGTCTCCCTTAGCACCGCACCATATTTAGAGAGCATCTGATTGTCTCCCTTAGCACCACACCATATTTAGAGAGCATCTGATTGTCTCCCTTAGCACCGCACCATATTTAGAGAGCATCTGATTGTCTCCCTTAGCACCACACCATATTTAGAGAGCATCTGATTGTCTCCCTTAGCACCACACCAAGATAGCCTCCCCTGGCACGATACTGCACATCATGTCTGTGTGTTGTTATCCCCAAACTCAGCAATATTCGAGCTATATGACAGGATCAGAAGCATCGATCTACGCATTTGGGATATGATGACATATGCATCAACCAAGTCAGCGAGTCAGACCACTTGATCCCAATTGTCACCTCTTACGACAAGAGGATTGCTGAAGAACAAGTCCACCCTGGGTCTTCTTGGGGCAGGTCCATCAGGTAGTGTCCCTTAACATACCGTGATCGCGAGAACTACGTGTTGACATAGAATCGTCAAACTATAACAAATATGACTTTTAACGAGTCAAAATATGGCATTTATGATATATGCATCCATTCTCTGTCAACTAATGTTCGTTTCAAGGCGTCAATAGCAGTAATCTGACCGTGGTTGCTGTTAATAACGGTGATTGTGCGATCTTCCAATCGCTTCACACACGATTTCGCCGAAATTAATTAAAACAATATTAAAAGGAATTTTGAATAAAATTAATGAAATAAGTTACATACATAAGTCCGGATATACAAAGAAAACTTTTTATAGCCAGACAGTGTAATTACAAATTAATTTGCGTACTTCAGTATGGATTTGTTCACATGGTATTTCCGGTGTTACGTGCTCATGGTAATATCTTTCCATGGGGAAAAAAACAATCAAAACTCATTATTTTGTGTATAATGCGCACCCCCTTCTACACAGCTGTGTTTTTTGGAAAAAAAGTGTGCACTATACTCAAGAAAATATGGTAGGCTCCACACCACACTGCCAGGAACACGTTACCTAGGGAGAACCATCCTATCATCTCCTTCTTCTTCATGCTCTTCTTGTTGTAGACAGACACCATCAGTGTCACCTCAGGGAGCTGGAACAGCGCCACCTGGAACATGAACGTCTCCTTGAACAGCGGGTTGGGCTGTCCACGCCGCACCGATGTCTTGCACCGCTGCAGCTCTTGCCCAGTGGGTGACATCAGCGTCAGCTTCACATATGTGTCTGCAATGAAACCATGGAACCATCAAGAACCATCAGTTTAACTTGTCGAACTAGTGTGAAAAAATATATCCTGATATTATAGCTAAAATGGATAGAATTATCATTAAACCGCCCGCAAGTTATGAGAAATGAGCGGGCCACTGTAACTTGATAATGCCCTCATATTGCTTGACAACGGGCCATTATGAAGCCCGTTGTTAGGTGATGTCATAGGGTAGAGAAAGTGACGTCACGTATTATAGTGACGTCATCTGGTTTGTTCTATGACGTTTCCATATTTGTATAAGTAGGTCAGTGACATTCGTGCAGTAAATGTTTCAAAACCGATTTTGTTGTTTCTTTTCATTTGATAACAAATTCCATCCATTTTAGCTATAATAACGGTAACGCTCTTTTTCAGGGCATTATCATTTGCAGAAGCCCTCGGTCTATTCAACAGCCCTCCTTGGTCGGGCAGTTAATGAAGACCTCGGGATACTGCAAATAATAATGCCCTGAAAAATAGCGTTACCCTTATATTATCAAGTGAAATAATATTTCAAACATGCCCAATCTTTTCACACTGCTAAGGTAGAGGCAACTGTGAAGTACCTATCGATACCACTCAAAAGAAGAGAAAGGACACCCAATCTTTTCACACTGCTGAGTTAAAACTGTCATGCTATGCCTTGACAGATTAACTATTGTAATATGAAAGCAGAGCTCCAGATAAGCTTTTGGTGTTGTGGGTATTTTACCAATGCATTTTAAAATCATTGGGTATCAGTAATTCTATCTGGGTATTCAAATTTCTATTACCCACTAGTTTTTACACATGTGGGTATTTAAGTTAAATATTTAAAAACACTATTCATCTAGACCCTGCAAACTGGTGTCGTGTGGGTTCGAGAGCTTTATAGGACTCAAAAATACCACGATACTTCCACAAGAAAGTGTGATGGCAAATGATCGTGATGTAACTGTCATCGTGGAGTTTGGCAAGGTTGACGGAATGCCCGTTTATAATTTCAAAATAAGTTGCTGATTTGCTAATCGAATACGCAGGGTTACTTCACAATATTTTGATGATACGCACAAGTTTTATTTTTGTAGCTTATCTGTAATGTTCGTTGCATATTTGATATGCTTGGTTTTTATTTTACTGCGTTTTTCTGTATTTCTTATGGGTATTTTATGCAGATACGCAGCTTATCTGGAGCTCTGTGAAAGAACTGGGTGTTCTCTTCTTCTGAGTTGTCTACGTTTTTTAATCATAATCAAGCGGCAGTAGAATTTAGGCGCATGTTCATAACGGGTGTCTTTGTGGACTCTGGAGTGTGAATTTCAAATCTCGTCTGACCAAAAGTCAAAACACAGATAGATACTTTAAACATTTTACCTGAACATCAAATGCAAAGAGATTCTCCCATGGAAGACTTGGTAAAATCTCAGTTTGCTTGTTGTTTAACGTTACACTAACCATATGACAGCGGTCTTTAAATGATGAAGTCTGGCCCTGACAATCTAGTGATTGACATCACAAGCATCGATCAATGCAATTGGGACATGATGACATGCATCAAGCAAGGGTACCCACTGCAAGTCTAGGGAAAAAATGTCCGATTGGTAATTGTTTTGCCGCAGCCCTGGCCTAAGCTATTAAGATACATGTATCAAACGATCAGATCATGCGTTCACTGAAGTTGACTGAAGTGTTATCTTTACTCAAACATTTACAAGTCAAAAGGAATGTGCGTATCGTCAGAAAGAAATGCGAACATTAGCGACTTGTAGTGTAACCACTGAGCTATAGTGAGTTTTTGTCATTAAACATATCACGTGACTAACCACGGGTCCAAGTAGTCCTGTGGGTACCCAGGTCCTACTCAGAACCCACCCGACCCGAGTACCCAAGTTACCCGTCCCAGCCCTATCATAAGCTATAGATGCTACATTGATGCTCACATCACTGGATTGTCTGGTCCATACTCGATTATTTACAGACGGCCATCATATAGCTGGAATATTGCTAATTATTACCTATGAGGGCAAACATATCGGGGTTCATAAAAATCATATGTGCCCTAGAGTCATATCACGTCATGAGACAGCGGTGTATTGTTTCTGTCATCCGGACGGCATTGTTGATGTCATTCGACAAGTTGTGGTTTCGGTGTTGTTGCGACTTGCTGTCCTTGGTAAACACTATAATTTGTCTCAATTTGTAGACATCTTCTTCGGTAATAAATAGAACATTATATTCTTGTTCATGTCATACTATGTTTACGACACTCGTGCCTAAATCTGGTATTTCCCGAGGGCGAGCGATACCGAAATTTAAACATTTGCGTCATAAACATGGTATGACATGAAGACAAATATAATATCCTCTTTGTAACAAACAAACAAACAAACAAACAAACAAACCGTACCTGGAGCCCTGTTCATGGCCATGTTGCGGAAGTTGCTTCCCTTGATGACCTCCACGGAGAGTCGACCAGTCGTGCCATTGTAGGCTAGCCCAATGAGCAGCTCCGGCATTCCGCCATGTTGGAGAGACTGTGTGGAGGAAGCGCTGTCACTCCTGGACAAGCTGGACACATCAAAACCAGAGTCCCCATGCTGGAACGCATTATACAACACACTTCAGATTTTACGCCTCACAACAGCTAAATGACAAACGACAAAAATTAACAGTTAATGCTGAATAAATCAGATGTCTTAGCTTTTCATTTATCAGATAGACCAGTATTTCTGTATTAAGGTATGCAGTTGTGTAAATATTCATCAGTCAAGTTTTTTACACCAATAGAAAAGGTTACTATAATTACAAAACCTGAACTCAGGTATGGGCGGCCATTCGGTCAAAAAGTATAGTTCAAATAAAAAATGTTACGAATAAAGTATTAAATGTTACTAATAAAGGTCAAAATACAAAACAAACAGATGCCGGTTAAAAAATACAGAGCAATTTTATGGTCTGAGGTTGACACAGCGCAACGTAATTCTCGCGCAATGTTCACTTTTCAGATGTTATAAAAATGACGTAATACTATGTGCACCTTGGCATGCAGTTATCATATACACAGCGGGACAAGCCAATTAAACGTAGAATGTATTACTAATTGGAGTGCCATGTGGCATTCTTTATTGTCAACATCCTTTAGTAGTTCAGCATCCTTTGGTGCGCACTGACGTTCTTTAGTACGCATTGTTCTTTCTTTTCAAACGATGTCTTTTCGTAACATTTGACTATTTTATTGCGTACTGGAGTTGTTTTTCAACTTTGTATTATTTTAACCAGTGTCCGTTTCTTTTGTATTTTCACCTTTATTAGTTACATTTAATGCTTTATTCGTAAGATTTGACTACTATTGCGTACTTTTGTCCTTTCTCTGACCTCTGTATTTTTTTACTGAATGGCCACCCATACTCAGGAAAGATGACATGTTTCATCATAAAGCTTCTACAAGTCAAAACTAAAGAGAGAAAGTTCTGTGGTATATGCTCCACTACTACAGTGCCATTCTTAAACTGTGACAAGTCCAATCAGCAAAATCCATCCATGTCAGATAGTAGGAGTTCAACATGCCAATCAGTGAATCACATAAATCATTAATCTAGAATCATATCTGCACAATCTGAACCAATTGTACATGGCACATTCTCCCAGTCAGCAGACAGGTGTTTAGCATACAACCAAGATGTATGTTTAAGAAAGCCAAATGTAAGCAATGTACCAATGTAAGCAATCTCATTAAAATCAGATCTTAGTTCTCGCTACCGCTAAACAAAGATCTGAGGACATCCCATTACGGGTCACGTCAGAACGACCTTTTGCGAATATTGAACAACCAATGAAATGACTGACAAGAAATCGACATTAGCCAATCAGAAGGAAGCTTTCTCGAGCTTTACGACACTAGTTTCAAACTGGCGACTACTCTTCGAAACATATTTTGACGTATTCTCGATTAAAAAATTAAAACTGATAAGAAGAACATTCTGGAATGGCTTATAGATGGCCTTGATTGTATGGATATAATCATAAAACCCGTAACTGTCGTTTGGAATACCCCATGTTAAATATTTCGTGGTTGCATGATTAGAAAACACATTCCGACTGTCACTTTCATGATCTGGATAGCGACGCTCTGATTGGTTGGATGAAAGGTCATTCTGACGTGACCCTTAATGGGATGTCCTCAGATCTTTGTTTAGCGATAGCAAGAACTAAGATCTGATTTTAATGAGATTGCAATGTGAGCAATGTTTGAGAATGCCTATGAAAGACTTGTTTGAGAAGATGTAAGCTGCAGGTAGAGACCGGTTATGAAGCAAGTACATTATATTCTGCAAGCTGGAAGTGAGTGTGGGTTGCCTGGCAACTAAGTGAAGCTACATGCAGGTGAGAAGGGTGCTGTGTCAATGTCATGTACGACCTGGCGACTTCCTGCTACATACATGAGAGTCTACACACTCGCCTTCAGTACTCGCTAGGATTAAGGGGGGAGTCATGAAAAAATGGCACAGTGAAGTGGAAGGGGGTAGGGGAGAATTTTTTTTATATTAAAACAGGGTGTGTTTTGGGGTGAAATGGGGTGGCTGAAAAAAAATGACAGTTCTATTCTTTTAAATTAAAAAACATTAAATTTCAATATTATTTAGGGTCTTGGTAATTTTTATAGGGAGGGCTGTGTGTCTTGGAAATATGTTACATGTAGTTGGTGGGGATTAAAAATGTTACTTAAAATGAGGGGTCAGCGAATATGATACTGGTCCTGAGACCTACCCCCCCCCCCCCCACCCCGAAACCCGCCCCAATAATAATTACCAGTCCCCCATGTAGGATAACAAGTTTTTTTATAATGTGTTCTTCACTTTTCCAGTTGCTCTCAAATTTCAGGATGGTTTTGATAATTTTTGAGCTGGACAATGAGTAGCCTAGTTAAACAGTAAATGAGAGGATGACCAGAATTAAAAAAGCCTGATCCAGCAGTGAACTTAACACTGCAGAACATTTGATAATCAGGAAATATCGTTATAGATTCCCCTGGAAGAACTGGAACATTTGAATTTGTTTTGTGATTCTAACATTAAATAGGATGTTTAAAAAAGAATGATTACATTTTAATTAATTTTTGGGTTTGTGTTGAAATCTGATCAAGATAAAAAAATTTATTGCTCTATTCTAATACGGAATTTTGTATTCTATTCAAAAGAAGTTAAAGAACACCCTAATCTTTCATATTACTATAGCTAGTATCTCGTGGCATGAAAGAGTGGGGTGTTACGACAGACTAACTATAGTAATATGAAAGAATCAGTGTTCTTTAACTTCTTTCATAAAGCCAAAAGTTCTTTCTGCTGGTGGAGCTGGGTTTTATTTAGCCATCTCTCATGTATGTAATGGAGGCTGTTTGTACTGAGGACAGCAAATTAACCTGTCCATAAGCCTAGCATTCAAGAATCTCTGATCAGCCCTGACATGGTGTCGGCCATAAGCCTAGCATTCAAGAATCTCTGATCAGCCCTGACATGGTGTAGGCCATAAGCCTAGCATTCAAGAATCTCTGATCAGCCCTGACATGGTGTCGGCCATAAGCCTAGCATTCAAGAATCTCTGATCAGCCCTGACATGGTGTCGGCCATAAGCCTAGCATTCAAGAATCTCTGATCAGCCCTGACATGGTGTCGGCCATAAGCCTAGCATTCAAGAATCTCTGATCAGCCCTGACATGGTGTCGGCCATAAGCCTAGCATTCAAGAATCTCTGATCAGCCCTGACATGGTGTCGGCCATAAGCCTAGCATTCAAGAATCTCTGATCAGCCCTGACATGGTGTCGGCCATAAGTCTAGCATTCAAGAATCTCTGATCAGCCCTGACATGGTGTCGGCCATAAGCCTAGCATTCAAGAATCTCTGATCAGCCCTGACATGGTGTCGGCCATAAGCCTAGCATTCAAGAATCTCTGATCAGCCCTGACATGGTGTCGGCCATAAGTCTAGCATTCAAGAATCTCTGATCAGCCCTGACATGGTGTCGGCCATAAGCCTAGCATTCAAGAATCTCTGATCAGCCCTGACATGGTGTCGGCCATAAGCCTAGCATTCAAGAATCTCTGATCAGCCCTGACATGGTGTCGGCCATAAGTCTAGCATTCAAGAATCTCTGATCAGCCCTGACATGGTGTCGGCCATAAGTCTAGCATTCAAGAATCTCTGATCAGCCCTGACATGGTGTCGGCCATAAGCCTAGCATTCAAGAATCTCTGATCAGCCCTGACATGGTGTCGGCCATAAGTCTAGCATTCAAGAATCTCTGATCAGCCCTGACATGGTGTCGGCCATAAGCCTAGCATTCAAGAATCTCTGATCAGCCCTGACATGGTGTCGGCCATAAGCCTAGCATTCAAGAATCTCTGATCAGCCCTGACATGGTGTCGGCCATAAGTCTAGCATTCAAGAATCTCTGATCAGCCCTGACATGGTGTCGGCCATAAGCCTAGCATTCAAGAATCTCTGATCAGCCCTGACATGGTGTCGGCCATAAGCCTAGCATTCAAGAATCTCTGATCAGCCCTGACATGGTGTCGGCCATAAGCCTAGCATTCAAGAATCTCTGATCAGCCCTGACATGGTGTCGGCCATAAGTCTAGCATTCAAGAATCTCTGATCAGCCCTGACATGGTGTCGGCCATAAGCCTAGCATTCAAGAATCTCTGATCAGCCCTGACATGGTGTCGGCCATAAGTCTAGCATTCAAGAATCTCTGATCAGCCCTGACATGGTGTCGGCCATAAGCCTAGCATTCAAGAATCTCTGATCAGCCCTGACATGGTGTCGGCCATAAGCCTAGCATTCAAGAATCTCTGATCAGCCCTGACATGGTGTCGGCCATAAGCCTAGCATTCAAGAATCTCTGATCAGCCCTGACATGGTGTCGGCCATAAGTCTAGCATTCAAGAATCTCTGATCAGCCCTGACATGGTGTCGGCCATAAGTCTAGCATTCAAGAATCTCTGATCAGCCCTGACATGGTGTCGGCCATAAGTCTAGCATTCAAGAATCTCTGATCAGCCCTAACATGGTGTCGGCCATAAGTCTAGCATTCAAGAATCTCTGATCAGCCCTGACATGGTGTCGGCCATAAGTCTAGCATTCAAGAATCTCTGATCAGCCCTGACATGGTGTCGGCCATAAGTCTAGCATTCAAGAATCTCTGATCAGCCCTAACATGGTGTCGGCCATAAGTCTAGCATTCAAGAATCTCTGATCAGCCCTGACATGGTGTCGGCCATAAGTCTAGCATTCAAGAATCTCTGATCAGCCCTGACATGGTGTCGGCCATAAGTCTAGCATTCAAGAATCTCTGATCAGCCCTAACATGGTGTCGGCCATAAGTCTAGCATTCAAGAATCTCTGATCAGCCCTGACATGGTGTCGGCCATAAGCCTAGCATTCAAGAATCTCTGATCAGCCCTGACATGGTGTCGGCCATAAGCCTAGCATTCAAGAATCTCTGATCAGCCCTGACATGGTGTCGGCCATAAGAAGGTGACGTCACATCCGTGACACATAGAACTGTACCCGTTGGAGTTTTAGAACGGTTGTTAGGAACTCATACTCAGGAGCGGCTGTGCTGGTCTGAATGAAACATGACATTTATCTTACCTCACACATGGATGTCAGGTTCTGATTGGCCGAAAAACATTCTACTATTTTCCATGTAACCCGCTAAGATGTAAGGGCATTTCTTATGCTTGTCATTACATTTGGAAAATACCAACTGCAATATTTTATCTCAAATTAATGATATAAGACGTCAGATATTAATGATATTTTCTAAATGAAATAGATCTAGGGTGAATAACTTTGTTTGTTCTCTGCCATCTGCTACAAATGCCGAACTGGCATTCTTCGTAGTTACCAAGTGGGATCAAAGCATGCATGCATAAGAGATACCCATAAAACAACTAGGTGTGTGGCAGGATAACTTCGTTGTCCACCGGTCGCTCGGGGGACATGGGTTGATGTCCCCTCTATGTTAGTTTGTGTTCCCCTTCATGTTCGGGGAACATTAACGAACAGAGGGCTCAGGGAACATTAACGAACAGAGGGCACTGGGGACATTAACGAACAGAGGGCACTGGGGACATTAACGAACAGAGGGCACTGGGGACATTAACGAACAGAGGGTTTTGGGCACATTAACAAACAGAGGGTTTGGGGACATTAACAAACAGAGGGCTCAGGGAACATTAACGAACAGAGGGCACTGGGGACATTAACGAACAGAGGGCACTGGGGACATTAACGAACAGAGGGCACTGGGGACATTAACAAACAGAGGGTTTTGGGCACATTAACAAACAGAGGGTTTGGGGACATTAACAAACAGAGGGCTCAGGGAACATTAACGAACAGAGGGCAGTGGGAACATTAACGAACAGAGGGCTCAGGGAACATTAATGAACAGAGGGCTCGGGGAACATTAACAAACAGAGGGCTTGGGGAACATTAACGAACAGAGTGCACAGGGAACATTAATGAACAGAGGGCTCAGGGAACATTAACAAACAGAGGGCTTAGGGAACATTAACGAACAGAGTGCTCAGGGAACATTAATGAACAGAGGGCTCGGGGCACATTAACAAACAGAGGGCTTGGGGAACATTAACGAACAGAGTGCACAGGGAACATTAATGAACAGAGGGCTCGGGGAACATTAACAAACAGAGGGCTTAGGGAACATTAACGAACAGAGTGCACAGGGAACATTAATGAACAGAGGGCTCGGGGCACATTAACAAACAGAGGGCTTGGGGAACATTAACGAACAGAGTGCACAGGGAACATTAATGAACAGAGGGCTCGGGGCACATTAACAAACAGAGGGCTTGGGGAACATTAACGAACAGAGTGCACAGGGAACATTAATGAACAGAGGGCTCGGGGCACATTAACAAACAGAGGGCTTAGGGAACATTAACGAACAGAGTGCACAGGGAACATTAACGAACAGAGGGCTCGGGGCACATTAACAAACAGAGGGCTTGGGGAACATTAACGAACAGAGGGCACTGGGGACATTAACGAACAGAGGGCACTGGGGACATTAACGAACAGAGGGTTTTGGGCACATTAACAAACAGAGGGTTTGGGGACATTAACAAACAGAGGACTCAGGGAACATTAACGAACAGAGGGCACTGGGGACATTAACGAACAGAGGGCACTGGGGACATTAACGAACAGAGGGCACTGGGGACATTAACAAACAGAGGGTTTTGGGCACATTAACAAACAGAGGGTTTGGGGACATTAACAAACAGAGGGCTCAGGGAACATTAACGAACAGAGGGCAGTGGGAACATTAACGAACAGAGGGCTCAGGGAACATTAATGAACAGAGGGCTCGGGGAACATTAACAAACAGAGGGCTTGGGGAACATTAACGAACAGAGTGCACAGGGAACATTAATGAACAGAGGGCTCAGGGAACATTAACAAACAGAGGGCTTAGGGAACATTAACGAACAGAGTGCTCAGGGAACATTAATGAACAGAGGGCTCGGGGCACATTAACAAACAGAGGGCTTAGGGAACATTAACGAACAGAGTGCACAGGGAACATTAATGAACAGAGGGCTCGGGGCACATTAACAAACAGAGGGCTTAGGGAACATTAACGAACAGAGTGCACAGGGAACATTAATGAACAGAGGGCTCGGGGCACATTAACAAACAGAGGGCTTGGGGAACATTAACGAACAGAGTGCACAGGGAACATTAATGAACAGAGGGCTCGGGGCACATTAACAAACAGAGGGCTTGGGGAACATTAACGAACAGAGTGCACAGGGAACATTAATGAACAGAGGGCTCGGGGCACATTAACAAACAGAGGGCTTAGGGAACATTAACGAACAGAGTGCACAGGGAACATTAACGAACAGAGGGCTCGGGGCACATTAACAAACAGAGGGCTTGGGGAACATTAACGAACAGAGTGCACTGGGAACATTAACGAACAGAGGGCACTGGGGACATTAACGAACAGAGGGTTTTGGGCATATTAACAAACAGAGGGTTTGGGGACATTAACAAACAGAGGGCTCAGGGAACATTAACGAACAGAGTGCACTGGGAACATTAACGAACAGAGGGCTCAGGGAACATTAATGAACAGAGGGCTCGGGGCACATTAACCAAAAGAAGGGTCAGGGAACATTAACCAACAGAGGGATCAGGGAACATTAACGAACAGAGGGCTTGGGGAACATAAACGAACAGAGGGGTCAGGGAACATTAACGAACAGAGGGCTCGGGGAACATTAACGAACAGAGGGCACTGGGAACATTAACGAACAGAGGGACTTGGGCACATTAACGAACAGAGGGACTTGGGCACATAAACGAACTGAAGGCTCGGGCACATTGACGAACAGAGGGACTCGGGCACATAAACAAACAGAGGGCTCAGGGCACATTAATGAACAGAAGGCTCAGGCACATAAAGGAACAGAGGGCTCGAAGAACATTAACGAACAGAAGGCTCGGGCACATTATCGAACAGAAGGCTCAGGCACATGATCGAACAGAAGGCTCGAAGAACATTAATGAACAGAGGGCTCAAAGAACATTAACGAACTGAAGCCTCGGGCACATTATCGAACAGAAAGTTCGGGGACATTATCGAACACAAGGCTCGGGCACATTATCGAACAGAAGGCTCGGGCACATTATCGAACAGAAAGCTTGGGGACATTGACGAACAGAAGGCTCTGGGACATTATCAAACAGAAGGCCCGGGCACATTTTCGATCAGAAGGCTCGGGCACATTATCGAACAGAAAGTTCGGGGACATGATCAAACAGAAGGCTCGGGCACATTAACGAACAGAAGGCTCGGGCACATTATCGAACAGAAGGCCCAGAGAACATTGACGAACAGAGGGCTCGGGGAACATTAACAGAGGGCTCGGGGAACATAATCTAACATACAGGGTTCATCAACCCATTTCCCCCCCGAGGGACAGGTGGACAACTGATATTGACATTGTCTTCCAGCTGGTTCAAGGTGACAGTAAGTAGTGGAGGAGGTGAACAGGATGTTGGAGGGAGATGCTAAGACTCTATATAGTACACATCTATAGTATGTGTTGCTGTAGTGTTAGATACATACTAAACCTCCCTTGCCCTGAAACATCATAGGCTGGGTGTTAAACATCAATCAATAGCAAGAAATAGCAAGTAAAGAAATCATTAACTGGTTGGAAAATGTCATCATGCCAGACTTCGAGTCGAGTTGAAGCAATTACTTTCGTACTGATCGTACTGGAACTTGATGAGTTTTCCACTCAAAGTCAAAGAAAAGTTATTGCACGTCAGCCTCTGGCCCATGTTCAAGTGTACAATCGGGTGACAATTGAGATTAATGGCAGTATGTACAAAAAGGCCATTTCTTTTTTTTCCTGGATCACCGATTTTTGTTGTCAAAGTAAGAACACTTTTTTTTTAAACTGGACCACAGAATGAGGGGGAAAAATAAGGATAAGAATATATGAATTCGCCATCTTTAACACCATTGTCTGCTTGAAGCCTCGCATTTTGTCATTTGTTGTCGGAAGTCAAAGGGAGTTAATTTCGACAAATTCTTATCAAAGACACAGGACATACATCTAGATTTTATTATGCAAGAAATGTTACTACGACTCGTCGAATGGAATGAGTGAGTGAGTTGCGTTTAACGCCCCATTTAACATTATTCCAGTTATATCACAGCGTGTCAGCTTAATGTGGGAGGAAAGCCCGAAGTGATGCAGGTCTCTGACTTTTAACACTTTGATGAAACCCACGAGCACAGGTATGGTGCTGACAAACCTAGAAACATAAACGGGATGAACCGGGATTCGAACCCACAATCATAGGTTTCTGGCGTGCCCAAGGGACGCAACTCTGCACAGTGAATTGTGGCGCAGTAGACGATTGGGCCACCCGTGCCCCTTGTCAACCGGACAATATAGCAAATATTAATGTCAAATTGAGCTTCCTAAGTTTCATAGAAGACCTTTTCAAAACACTGAGAAATTTGAAAATAATTTAATGTGTATGATGTGTCAGCAGGGGGGAAATAAGGGTAATTGTGGTGAAATAAAATCTTTTCCAATTATGAGTGAGTGAGTATGGTTTTACGCCGCTTTTAGCAATATTCCAGCAATATCACGGCGGGGGACACCACAAATGGGCTTCACACATTGTACCCATGTCGGGATTCGAACCCGGGTCTTCGGCGTGATCCAATTTAGAAGAATCCAGGGTCGATGAATCCCTGATCCAACACATTAAAAGATCATGACTACTTTGACAACTGACAGTGTCTAATATGCATATTATATGAATACCTATGTAACCCGGTGATAAAAATCAGTATATACTGTTGGTAAGAATATTTACCATTTGTACATATAAACATGATTACAAAATTGCTCTGGAAGATATCATTTCTTTATATTCTTGTGTGCAGGACCAAGAAACACAAAATGATATTCATCTTCTATTCCATATTTACAAATTGGCATCTTGAGGGAATATCAATGTCCAACAGTGACAGCGGCCATGCCTGCACATCAATGGCTCACCAGCAGCTACCCACTCTAGCTTGAGTTTGTTTGTTTCTTGTTTTATGACGCTCTCAGCAATATTCCAGCTAAATGACGGCGGTCTGTAAATAATCGAGTCTGGACCAGACAATCCAGTGATTGACATGAGCATCGATCCACGAAATTGGGATACGTTGACATGCATCATCCAAGTCTGTGAGTCTGACCACCCGATCCCGTTAGTCGCCTCTTACGACAAGCATAGTGGCCTTTTACGGCAAGAATGGGTTGCTGAAGTCCTATTCTACCCCGGATCTTCACGGGTGCGTGTTCTAGTAGGTCTACTTCTGATATCAACAAAAAGATGAAGTCAGCAATAGCCCAGACTAACATGTGCATCTATTCTGTTAAATGAAAAAGAAATACAGAAAAAACGGTTGCTGAATTATATTAATAAAACATAAAAGTAGCCAAGAGACTCTGAAACTGCTGTGAAAATAGTCCATGCTTGCTGACTGCTATTTTCTGATTGGCTGATAACAGAATGGGGCCTGCAATACATTATTGTGCTGAAGAATGTCTCTGACTTTGTATTGTTGACTGCAGTTTTTTTGTGTTAATCATCAGATAAGCAGTCTATGAAGTCATTATTGTTGACATATTTATCTATAACAATTGACCTCAGTATGGTTTTCGTTTATAATAATAATGTGAGTATTCACATCGCGCTAGATTTCTTGCACAAGGTGCATTGCCCAAAGCGCTAACATTGTTACCCTGGTCAATGGATCAGTGTTCATTTTCGTTCTCAGCTCCCTGGGGAGTATATGGCATCATAAACGTAAAGAAAATGGTGCACACACATGTGTATCTTTTGAACTTAAACACACATTGTGCATACCGGATTTTATGTTTATACCTCCAAAATGCAAAAATTATCAAAGTAATATCTTAAATGAATTTCAAGGAGATATATTGAATATTTCTGAGTTAAAGTCTGAATGAACAGGATGAAGACAACCAAAGCTCCTCTGTGTAAGCTCTGTCAACTTTACTGTTGCTTGGATGATGATAGCTCATTATGGTTATCGATGGCACCACTTTAGCCATTGTCAGTCTGGTAAAGTTTCAAGAAGATGTAATGCCAGTCTGATAATTCTGTTCAGGAACAAAATGAGATGGTGTTGTTATCTTGGAACCCATCACCAGTATAGTTGTGGCACCATTCCACAAAGCAATGTTAGCCTTAAGACAATCATATCTCCAATATTTTAACATACATTTATGACTAACGTTGTACTAAGGTCACTTTGTGGAATGCTGCAAATATATGGTTTGTTTGTTTGTTTGTTGTTCAATGCCGCACTCAGCAATATTCCAGCTATATCATCATAATAATTGAGCTGGTCCAGGCAATCCAGTGACCGACATCATGAGCATCGATCTACGTAATTGGGATACGATGCCATGCATCAACCAAGTCAGCGGGCCTGACCACTTGCCTCTTACAACTATCCTGGATCTTCACGGGGTGCAAGTATATGGTATGTTAGTGGAACTCACACTGAGGTTGCTCCTCGGCTCCAGCACCATCCAGTGAGTCGTCTCCTCATCCAGGTTCAAAGATGCAAAGCCCACGATGCTCTCTCCGATCATACGCTCTCGTCGCATACGCTCCAGTCCATAGAGTCGCACTCGGATCCCCATACCATGGACATCATCTGTGATAATGGCCAGGCCTCAAAGTTTAATTTTTTACCAAGTAGACATATGGCTACAAGTAGTGAGTGAGTTGGGTTTAATGCCGCTTTTAACAGTATTCCAGTTATATCGCAGCGTGTCAGCCTAATGTGGGAGGAAAGCCCGAAGTGATGCAGGTCTTAGACGTTTACCACTTCGGTGAAACCCACGAGCATGGGTTTGGTGCTGACAAACCTAGAAACATAATCTGGGCGAACCGGGATTCGAACCCACAATCATAGGTTTTTGGCGTGCCCAAGGAACGCAACTCTGCATCTGCCCCTTAGATGACTGGGCCACCCGTGCCCCCTGGCTACAAGTAGTTTTTTCCCAGGTAGCCAGTGGTAAAATCAAGAAGTCAAGCCAATATTGTAGGTAGCCAAAAGCATTTGAAATGATCTTTTATCCAATAACTATTACAAGTACAAGTCATAGCACTACTCTTGAAATTGTATATTAGTGGAAACTGTACTTGAGTTTTGTTATTTGTGACTCGAACAATGATGCAATTTTACTAGATTACATAGGTATATCCTTGCTTATCCAATCAACTAAAATAAAATACTAATTGCATTAATATTTATGTATTTCGGTTCATTGTTGACTTAAGGAGGAATTATTCGTGAGCACAATTAGTAGCAGACATAATTATTTTTGTGTCTACATATGCGTAGCAATAGAAGTTAGTCGCCACAAGATATTTTTCAAGGTAGTCATTTGGCTACCTCTGAATTTAAGACAGTAGACATATTGAAATTTAGGTCACATTGGCGACCATTTAATCGTAACTTTGAGGCCTGAGGACACATGCATTATCTCTAGGGCTGGCTAAAAAGATCGATAATCAGAATTATCACTGATGGGAAGAAATATTTACGATTATCAATATGAAAATTGTGTCATCGATAATACCTTACACGAATTATTGTGATGAAATAAAGATTAGATTTACCAAAACAGACTTGTTATTGTCAATCATGTCACCTGCCAAAGATGGAAAGCAACTGTTTCTGTTATATCTTAAATGTCTAGAAGGTAATCCATGCATAAATGTGCCACCGCCCAGCAGTGGGGCGAAATATGTTTTCTTTTGGACTACCGTATTCGCGCCCCTCCCCCAATAAGCGCCCCCCTCCACCCGGTTCCGAAAATTTATATAGTAATTATTTTGTTTTAAATGAAAATCGTCCGGGAACCGAGGTTTCCAGATATTTGAGGTCCGTATAAGCGTGGCAAGACTGTATTCTGTAAAAAGTGCGCACAAGTCTCAAGAAAATACGGTAAGGCTTACTGATGAATTTACGCCAATTTGGTCCCAATAAGCGCCCCCCCCACCCCCCCCCCTTCTGTCTTTTTTTAAGCGTCCTGGGCGCTTAATGGGTAGAATACGGTATTTGGCGTATTTGCTCAAAGTTACTTATCCGATATCTAACGATTATTGATCGATATTTAGTTAACAAGTATCGATTTTTATGATCTGTATTGATAGGCAGCCCTAATTTTCTCACTGCTGGTATTATTGGTATTATTGACATTGTCTAATGCTTCACTGTGACATCACTGTGAGAAAATTGTACTTACCTGGAAAGATTTTGGAGAATGCGAAGTTTTCATCAAAGGTGGGATTTTCTCCTGTTTTCACTTTGGTCTTGAATTTCTGTTTCTTGGTAGGCAGTAGCATCATGCGTACTTGGACATTGCTGGCGCCACCACGGTCCTTGGCCGGGATCTCCCGCGCCTGATGGATGGTCACGCTCATCTTGCCTCGCTTGGCTTCATACTTGAAGCTCACTTCTAAACTTCCACATTTGGAGATCAGTGGTGGGTCCCCTTGCAGGTCACTGACATCAAACAGGTGTTCCTGTGAGGAGAAGACGGTTAGAATGCAGCTTACAGTTAAGTGAGGTGTCAGTTAACTGAGTTAGTGAGTACGGTTTTATGCCGCTTTTAGCAATAATCCCGCAAACCTGCAGTGACACCAGAAATGGGCTCCACACATTGTACCTATGTGAGGGATTGAACCCAGGCCTAGGTGATGAGATGTAAGGTGATATGTTGCATCCAAGGATTATTGCACTTGATCTATGTAATGGAGATACAAAGACATCAACCAAGTCAGCGAGCCTGACCACCCGATCCCGTTAGTCGCCTTTTACGACAAGCATAGTCGCCTTTTACGGCATGGATGGGTTGCTGAAGACCTATTCTAACACTGATCTAAATTGGTCCACGGAAAGAATTTAAGAGCTCGGATCAAAACAAGGCCAAAGATTAACATAAAGCTCAAAAGGGACCATTTGTGTTGAATCCCACTACAGTACCTGAGTTACCCGTCCCAGCCCTAACCAGTAGCAATTCTGTTTCTTCAATGTCATGGCCGAGGGTTGACATTCTAACAGGAAAATGCCCCTCCTCACATGGCTAGTGTTGCTATGGCTATTCTTCAACAGCACAATGTTCAAGTACTGCCTTGGCCTGCAAACTCACCAGATCTCTAACCTAAAGAGCATGGGTGGGATTAAAATGGAGCTACGTCTACGCCATGTACCAAATCCGCCAGATAACGTTCGTAATTTGGCAGCAGAGTTGCAGAGAATATGGCAAGCCATTCCACAAGCCTTCCATGCCCATTTGATGGACTCCTGTGGGCACACCCGTTTTTGAGTTTGTGACATTGTTGCTTGACCCCTGCCCCGCGTTTGGACGCGTAATGTCAATGTCGTGGACATTAAACATGCTGGTCTGCCATCTTTTTATGATCTCTATATCCACCTAGTAAAGTTTACATGGAAATGATCATTGTTATATTTTCAAATTTAGAAAGAATTTTAACAACGCACAGTTTCTTTTTGTGACTAGTATATACATGTCTTCCAGAAATGCTAGAAGATAACTTGAAAAAGACCTCAAGAGAAGAATTGGGACAAAGAAAATAATAATTAATCCTGTGAATCATTGGAAAAGGGTGCACTTTAGCAAGACGAAACTTCATTGGACTGTTGGAGGTCAGTTGCCCACAATTATTTTGGGTGATGAGGCACAGACAGTGATTGGAAGACACAAAACAAGTAGGATCAGATCAGTCATGTTCTGGGCTGTGTGACGCATCATGGTGGTGGAACACCTATTCCAGTGGATGGTAATATAAAACTGAGAAGTATTTTGAGAGTAACCAATGAGCTACGGGGAATTACGGATTATCTGTCCTGAGTGAATGAATGGTGTTAATCCGCCTTTGCCGAGGGACTTACAGCGTTCATTCAAAAGGGACAGATAATAAATACATAATTCTGAGTTTTGGGTAGGTGAGGTGAGGTGAGGTGAGTGAGTGAGTGAGTTTGGTTTAACGCCGCTTTTAACAGTATTCAGTTATATCGCTGCGTGTCAGCTTAATGTGGGAGGAAAGCCCGAAGTGATGCAGGTCTCAGACGTTTACCACTTCGGTGAAACCCAGAAGCACGGGTATGGTGCTGACAAACCTAGAAACATAATCGGGGAGAACCGGGATTCGAACCCACAATCATAGGTTTCTGGCGTGCCCAAGGGACGCAACTCTGCACAGCGAATCGCGGCGCCTTAGACGACTGGGCCACTCGTGCCCCTGAGGTGAAGTGCCCCTGAGGTGAGGTGAGGTGAGGTGAGGTGAGGTGAGGTGAGGTGAGGTGAGGTGAGGTGAAATAGGGCTTAACGTCGCGTCCAAGATTATTACACTTATATAGTGACGTGCATGTGTGCTAAAGTCTTTTGGTATGAAGCGGCCTGACATCGAACCCCGGACCTTCCGCAGACGCTCTACGACTAGGCCATGGAGGCGGTCACAAGTAGGTTGGAGACAGTGAAGGAAAAACATAATATGTCACACCGACAGAGAAACTTCACAGCAGACAGCCTTTTGTTCAGATGACGTCATGTAATCAACATTGTGAACAATGAATGATGTCATATAATATTTTTGCAACAAGAAGCTTCAATTGACCAATCAGCATTGAGAATTGCTAAAATGCACATGTGCAAAGTTGACTTTTGGGGACATAACAATTTGGACGTACCCAGCGTTTCTTCTATCTACCTGCAGCATCATGCTATGGGAGCTGAGTTATTGCCAGCCAGTGTACATGGCTTCTTTCAGGTCAAAATACTCACAACTCCTTAAAGGATGCAGAAGATGACATCGATCTCCTTCCCTAAGAACCAGTCCAAAAAAGATCTCACTACATCACACAAGTCTGTTTAATGTACATAATTCAAGAACCAAAGACATGGCAGACATATCTCACAGCAAAAACAATCCCTGGACCACCTGCCTACTTCCTTGCATACCGCTGAGCTAATTACAGGGGATTCCCCAGTCTGAGAGGATCAAGTGACTACTGGCGGTGTTCAAGCTGGGTTCCTCCTAGTGTCCTCCCCACTGCTGCAGCCTAGCTACATCCTCCACCCCAGCCACAGCCTCCCCCTCCCCACCACTGCTGCAGCCTAGCTACAACCTCCACCCCTGCCACAGCCTAGCTACATCCTCCACCCCAGCCACAGCCTAGCTACATCCTCCACCCCAGCCACAGCCTAGCTACAACCTCCACCCCAGCCACAGCCTAGCTACATCCTCCACCCCAGCCACAGCCTAGCTACAACCTCCACCCCAGCCACAGCCTAGCTACAACCTCCACCCCAGCCACAGCCTAGCTACAACCTCCACCCCAGCCACAGCCTAGCTACATCCTCCACCCCAGCCACAGCCTAGCTACATCCTCCACCCCAGCCACAGCCTCCCCCTCCCCACCACTGCTGCAGCCTAGCTACATCCTCCACCCCAGCCACAGCCTCCCCCTCCCCACCACTGCTGCAGCCTAGCTACAACCTCCACCCCAGCCACAGCCTCCCCCTCCCCACCACTGCCACAGCCTAGCTACATCCTCCACCCCAGCCACAGCCTAGCTACATCCTCCACCCCTGCCACAGCCTCCCCCTCCCCACCACTGCTGCAGCCTAGCTACATCCTCCACCCCAGCCACAGCCTCCCCCTCCCCACCACTGCTGCAGCCTAGCTACAACCTCCACCCCAGCCACAGCCTCCCCCTCCCCACCACTGCTGCAGCCTAGCTACAACCTCCACCCCAGCCACAGCCTCCCCCTCCCAACCACTGCCACAGCCTAGCAACATCCTCCACCCCTGCCACAGCCTAGCTACATCCTCCACCCCTGCCACAGCCTAGCTACATCCTCCACCCCAGCCACAGCCTAGCTACGTCCTCCACCCCAGCCACAGCCTAGCTACGTCCTCCACCCCAGCCACAGCCTAGCTACGTCCTCCACCCCAGCCACAGCCTAGCTACATCCTCCACCCCAGCCACAGCCTAGCTACGTCCTCCACCCCAGCCACAGCCTAGCTACATCCTCCACCCCCAGCCACAGCCTAGCTACGTCCTCCACCCCAGCCACAGCCTAGCTACGTCCTCCACCCCAGCCACAGCCTAGCTACATCCTCCACCCCCAGCCACAGCCTAGCTACAACCTCCACCCCAGCCACAGCCTAGCTACGTCCTCCACCCCAGCCACAGCCTAGCTACAACCTCCACCCCAGCCACAGCCTAGCTACGTCCTCCACCCCAGCCACAGCCTAGCTACGTCCTCCACCCCCAGCCACAGCCTAGCTACGTCCTCCACCCCAGCCACAGCCTAGCTACGTCCTCCACCCCCAGCCACAGCCTAGCTACGTCCTCCACCCAGCCACAGCCTAGCTACGTCCTCCACCCCAGCCACAGCCTAGCTACGTCCTCCACCCCAGCCACAGCCTAGCTACGTCCTCCACCCCAGCCACAGCCTAGCTACATCCTCCACCCCAGCCACAGCCTAGCTACGTCCTCCACCCCCAGCCACAGCCTAGCTACGTCCTCCACCCCAGCCACAGCCTAGCTACAACCTCCACCCCAGCCACAGCCTAGCTACGTCCTCCACCCCAGCCACAGCCTAGCTACGTCCTCCACCCCAGCCACAGCCTAGCTACATCCTCCACCCCAGCCACAGCCTAGCTACAACCTCCACCCCAGCCACAGCCTAGCTACAACCTCCACCCCAGCCACAGCCTAGCTACAACCTCCACCCCAGCCACAGCCTAGCTACGTCCTCCACCCCAGCCACAGCCTAGCTACATCCTCCACCCCAGCCACAGCCTAGCTACATCCTCCACCCCAGCCACAGCCTAGCTACAACCTCCACCCCTGCCACAGCCTAGCTACGTCCTCCACCCCAGCTACCCTCCCCACCTGCCTACTTCCTTGCATACCGCTGAGCTAATTACAGGGGATTCCCCAGTCTGAGAGGATCAAGTGACTACTGGCGGTGTTCAAGCTGGGTTCCTCCTAGTGTCCTCCCCACTGCTGCAGCCTAGCTACATCCTCCACCCCAGCCACAGCCTCCCCCTCCCCACCACTGCTGCAGCCTAGCTACAACCTCCACCCCTGCCACAGCCTAGCTACATCCTCCACCCCAGCCACAGCCTAGCTACAACCTCCACCCCAGCCACAGCCTAGCTACATCCTCCACCCCAGCCACAGCCTAGCTACAACCTCCACCCCAGCCACAGCCTAGCTACGTCCTCCACCCCAGCCACAGCCTAGCTACGTCCTCCACCCCAGCCACAGCCTAGCTACGTCCTCCACCCCAGCCACAGCCTAGCTACATCCTCCACCCCAGCCACAGCCTAGCTACAACCTCCACCCCAGCCACAGCCTAGCTACATCCTCCACCCCAGCCACAGCCTAGCTACGTCCTCCACCCCAGCCACAGCCTAGCTACGTCCTCCACCCCCAGCCACAGCCTAGCTACATCCTCCACCCCAGCCACAGCCTAGCTACATCCTCC